TAACGTTGCGCGCTTTCCTCTTAATCCTCACCTTCTATGATGTGAGTTCAGTTCTTGACAAACTTAATACAAACTTGTTCGTATTGATGAGATTCGACAGAAGGAAACGAGAAAAGCTAATTTTGCTTGTAGGGAGTAACAGCTGTTAATGAAAGTTGAACGTGGTGCGTAAAAACCCTGCTCCAATCACCTCCTAAGATTTACCGTGATTATCGTGCGCTATGATTTTTCATACTTACAGGCGAGTCAGTAAATGCTCTCGAGTCATGAAAACTTGTTCCTAGATTTCTTATGCTACATTCTTCGCCAAACGCTTGACAACATCGACCCATAATTACATCGGGTTTCTCAGTAGTGCCCAAGTCAATGTGACGAACGAAGCATTTTCTTAATGTAATCTGCATAACTCAAATTTGGGCGGGAGCAAAAAAGCAAAACAATGTTAATTGAATGCTCATTCAAGCTCATCAGGATTTGAAATGACTTTAAACTCAGTTGTTAGCTTTTCACTGCCAACACGTAGAGAAAGACAGGATTCCCATTAACTTCTTGGTCAGTTTCAGACTGAACAAACCGCACACCATTTAAGAATTTATACCTCTAACCCTGTTTTCTTTTGAGTCTTTTCTTCTTTCGTATCTCTTTGTCTAAGATTCAGTGTAGCGTTTCCATTTGCTATTGACCGCCAACTATCCTTCAAACAATCCCCAATGCAATATGCAAAAACGGAGGCGTCTGAACGCATAACTTAAGGAATTCTTGTAAAATACGCGCAAATTCTGCTTCAACATGGACGACACTAAGAAGTGGTTTGAAGCTGTTTTCAACGAAGAGTGTCAACTAAACAGCTTTTTGTTAAGGTTTCAACGCCCTGAGTTGTTTTCAGAGTCCCCGGTAGGTACTTTGAAAGAATTTTGAAAATCGGGATAAAGCATTTCATGCGAAACTGATCTATGTGACGGTCATGAAAACTCCCCCGCAACGGGATGAAAATTCGATTCTGGGTCAGTATTTAACTCAAAGCAACTGAAAATTAACTTTATAACCTTGAAAAACTGTAAGTTTTTAGCCGGCTTCGGGATCATGGATGCTGATTTACTTGGTACAAAGTATCCTCTAATGGGCAGTTAATGATGGCCATCGGTTCTTGTCCAAGTTTCATAGTTAGACCGTAACATTGTGTGATTTTACCCTCCAACAGTAAACAGTAAAGAAAACTGTTTTTTTGAACAAGAATGGCGTTCAATCCCAACATTACAAGTGCTTTGATTTAGAGAGCAAAATCTATCAGCCATGACATAGATGCATATTTCTGTTCTTTCTTCACATGGATTGAGACGGAGAACTTCCTGTGCTGATTTTCACAAACAAGCCGTTGAGTTTCTGTCTTTTATGTGATACTTCGCAGAACAGACCTAAATCGACTTGAAGTATAACCAACTCGAAATACTGGAGGCTGTTATTTAAGATACATACAGACATAATTTAATTTAACTTCGGATTTTAGAATAGCCTAAAGGCTAGTATGTGACACCTACAACATCACAGATAAAAAAAACATATTAACATGAAAACACAAACTGTTGGTAATAGTAAACATCTAATTGATAAAACTATGGGAAAAAAGTAAATGCCTAGATTCCTTCAGACTAGTGGTTCGCGTTTTCGTCTTTTTCACCTGCTTATACATACTGACTAAAACTCTTACTGAACGGAAAAAATGCAAGAATACTTTTGAGGAGCATCTGCAAGAAAAACATATGTTTATATCCTGAAATCGTGCCTAGAAAAAGGCCAAAGGTTTGAAGAAAATCTGTGAAGAGGTATAGGCTTGTTAAGAATGAACTCAGTAGAAATATTTTGAATGATTAATAAAACAATTATTGAATTCAGCTTTCGTACGATGTGAAGAATTATCCTGATCTCGGTCATAATATTCTCCTCGATCTGTATAACTGTTTACGTCATGGTCAGCCTCATTAAATAATTGCTACTGAATAATTAAAAAGCGCACTTCAGTCGCGGCTCGTTTTTGAATGAACTAGAATCTTTCATTGACTGTCCTCGATTATCATGGCTTTTGTATCACCTGAATTCATGGTCCAGTTCTCAGTGCGCTAGTGAATCACCTAACCTGAGGACCGGCTAACACAAGAAGCGCGCGGGTATTTCTGTAGCGATTTTTAACGGCCAGATCAGTTTTATTTTGATAGACTAACACTCAATTTTTCCTTTCTTTGTTATTTTTCAGTGGTTTACTCCAACACTGTTTATTTTGTATCGTCTGGTAATAGCCTCTTGCTGTGTGATCTTTGCAGAGGAAAGCGTCCTCAATAATCCCAGCTATCGCTGGCTTCTGCAGTTCGACAACTGGAGTATATCCTCGACCTGCTTGCACTTTATTCTCAACACAGGGCTTCTTTTTCACAGCCAAATAGAAACATGGAGAGAAAACAGGAGAAAGAAGAGAGAAATTGAAGAAACAAAACACGTTAAACAGTACGAAAAGATATACTGGGCAGAAGATAGAATAACGGAAAGTGATGAAGAATTTCTTTGGCCATGGGAGGAGGACCATGCAGTCGAATTGCAAGAAGACAGGCTGTCCTATTATCATAAAACATTATGGCTCCTACAAAGCATTGCTGGCAACAGTATTCTTGTTGTGACCGTATGCTATGTTATTCTTGAGGATCATATCAAGGCGAAAGTGCTCGCCACGTATCTTTCTCTCGCAGTATTTCTTCTCGCTGATGCTATATTAAGTTTTACTCCAATCAGACTCTTGCATTTTGTTTATAGCTATTTGTTTACTTTATTGTACGTCTTAGTTATTGCTGTTTACCATTTTGCTAAAAGAACTCATCAAATCTCCGCGCTACCGAGCTTAGTAAACAGGATTATTCAGGATCCTTTTCAGGCAATGTTGGTTATCCTTGTTCTTCTCATTGCTCAGCCACTGTTTCAAACGCTGTACTTTTGCGTTCATAAGTTGAACACGTTCATATATATCAAATGTTATAGCTATTGACTAATGTCCTGCCCACATTAACGGGTTTTCGTTTGAAAAGGCATACGTTTCGATACGTTTAGGCCTTCCGTCCACAGTAATACGCTGGGCGCGTTTATATCGAAAACGCATCAATTTGAAAACGCGTTTTAGTGTGAACGGTCGAAAAGGCAGGCGCGTGTGTTTGTAGCAATTCTATCGTTTTCCAACGTTTTAGTGTGGACAGTCGAAAACGTATCATGAACGGTAGTGTGGACACGATTAGATCGATGCGTTTCGATGACAACGTAAAACGTTCATACTTTTGAAAACGCATTAGTGTGGACAGAGCCTAAGTTACATGCTGCCCACCGGAAATTCATAGATTGCATATGTAAATATAGTTATTTATAATCATTTTCAAGTAAAATAACTCTAAAGCAGCTAATCTGAGAGACTACAAACTGCTAAGTTATAGAACTTTTAACATATGTTAATTTTCACCATCCCAAAAGATAAAAAAAAATCAAGTATAGTAAAAGAAATGTTTCTTTTGGTTTACGTTAATAACTGTAGTCACGTGTCTGATGACGTCGTAATTAAGGACAAAGAGAAATACGGGCCAAACTATTGGGGCGGCAAAAAGCATGCTCGATGGAGAAAATCTCACCTTTCATTAGAGTTCACGTATCTTTTTTTGCCCCAACACAAGTCATGCAAAATTTGTGTTGATTGCACGCCTAGGAGATGAAACTGTCATTCATTTGAAATATATCAGAGGGTTTCCCTAAACCGACCGTCAACGTTATTGATAGCGAGCAGAAGATTCCGAAACAATCTTGAAAGTATGGCTGACGCAACCTAACATTCATCCTACAAGACCAGGGCGTTACAAGGTTTAAACGCACCTTATGGATAGTTAATTTCGCGCGATTGTTAAAAAATTCACGAAATTGAGACGCGCGAATACAAATCCTCGAGCAGTTTAAGTATGCCAAATTTAATACTTATATAGAAAATTCAAGACACAGAAAAAAATGCTTTTAAAACATGTAATATTAATAACTTATACAGGGTGTGTAACGACAGCTAAACAAATTGTTGACAAAGATGTTAACGCATTTAGCTAATAATAAATAATAATAAAATATTTATATAACGCCTATACTTTTCAATGCTAAGCGCTTTACGATGCTTTGAAAAAATTAAAAAAATTAAAAATTAAAATTCTGGAACCATTTACATATAATCCTTACATGGTCACAAAAACGCAAAATTAAAACCTAAGAAACTTCGTAAACTCGCTTAAATAGAAAGGTCTTCAATTTAGATTTAAATTTATTTACATCATCGATCGATCTAATATCAACAGGTAGATCGTTCCAGAGTATATGGGCAATGCAAGACAGAAAAAAGCCCTTAAACCGTACGTCTTAAAGTTATAGGGTTTAATAACAAGACATCACTTGTCTAAAGATTAGCGAAGGCACCTCGTAGGTTCAAAAACATATAGTAGGTCTACCAAATAACCAGGAGCTAATTGTTGAGTATCTTAAAACATATAAGATTAATCTTAAAGAATATTCTTTGCTCCACTGCATGGTAGCCAGTGCAGCTCCTTTAGAGTATCGCGTCTAATATGATCAAACTTACGTAAGCAAGAAATCACACACGCTTTAGTGTTTTGGACACTTTTTTACAGTTTGTTAAACTCATTCTTGGGATGACCATGTGAAAGCGAGTTGCAGAAATCCAGCTTAGAATTTATGAATGCGTGCCCAAGAACTCCATGATCAGTGTTTGTAATTAACATTGATATACTTGCGAATCTTAGCTATATTTCTGAGATGGTAGAATGCCCCTTTAACTATTTTGTTGATATGAAAAGATATCGTTTCGGTATTATCGAAAATGACGCCCATATTACGCGCCTTATTTGTAGGCTTGATGATATCATTTTCCAAGTAGAAGGAAGCCGCGGGGGCAGTCTGAACCTAGAATAGAGAATGAGAAGTTCCGTTTTGTCAGTATTTAGCTTCAGTTTTTTAGTAGTCATCCAGTTAGTGATATCGACAAGGCAGCTCTCAATCCGGGAAATTGTATAGTGGTAAGATCAACGCTATCATCACGACTGAAGGTTAAGTGTACAGTTGAGTATCATCAGCATATAGAAGGAATTCCATATCATATATGCCATCGTATTATGTCACCCAGTGGGGTCGTGTATAAGAGATATGAACGCCCCAACACGGATTCCTGGGGTACACCAAATCTGAGCGTACGAACTGAAGAAGTAAATCAATCTGAACTGCCTGGAAACGATCCGTACTGAGATAAGACTGAAGCCACGCAAGCGCTTTTCCTTTTAAACCAAACCTGGATCGCAGTCTGTATAACAAGATCTTTTGATCGACAGTGTCGAAGGCGGCTGATAGGTCCAGCAGCAAGAGAACGACGCATTGTTCATTATCGATCGATTTCAGTATATCATTTTGAACACGTAGAAGCGCTGTGTCATAACTAAAATTTCTTACAGTAAGCAAGTCCACATTTTTGTTTCATAAACTGGCTCCTTCAGTTATTGACCTGACCGTTGTTTAAGTCAAAGAAATCCTGGCGCGTTCGACCAAGGATCAGAATAGGCTAAGAAACGAAGAAAAAAAGGACTGTGATGGTCTAAGAGCATGAAGGAAAAATGCTATAAATGTCATCCAAAGAGATTTAAAGCTCATCTTAAGACCTAGATAATCAAATGTTTTTTTACTGGTAATATTAGCGTTTTCCATTTTACTCCCTCGGGAGGGGTTTTATAGTGTATTGAGATCAATTTTATTTTGTTTAGTGCATTTACCGACCCCAAAACCAACCTGAAACCTTTCAAATTGAACTTTAATCTTATACTAAACTGATTTTCCAGCTTTTTCAAAAAACTGTTAATTGACCTTGGCAGTGTGGTTGGATGGTAAATAAAAACTGATCGTTCGGTATTAAATTTATCAAGGAAATCGAAGGTGATTGGTTTCAGCTTTAGTGTATTCTTTACAGCAATACATTGACTTGCTTGAAACATTTAGTAAACATTTTTAGTTGAGTGATAGGATAATCTGCATTCTTTCAAGTTTTTTTTTCCATGAAAAAGACAGTGGAGGGACCAGTTTCTGGGTTGTATCTTTTCAAACGGATTTAAGGAAAACATTTTAAAATGTTAAATAATATATTATGCAAAGAAATGCGGTTTCTCGCTAGCACAGAAGGTCTCTGTTTAGCCCCAGAAATGAACAACGGAGTCTACGTGCAACTCCGTGAAAACATAACAACAGCTGAAATCTTCTAAAACCAAGTACTTGAACTGAAATAACAAAAACCCATTTGTAAATAGCAAAAAACTAACATTAGCCAAGCCATAAATTTCGTGAAAGTTATGTTACTTGCATCGGTGAATGACAGTTCATTCGGTATGTTTGAATTGCCTTAATTTGCAGTTGCTACCAACCTATTGTATGGGGAGCTTTACTGTTTACACTGTTTACATAGCTGTCGCCTGCACTGAGTGAGACGATATTAAAACTGGCTTACGTGCAATAACTGGATGTATTCCCTGGTCTTCGTGAATGTTACAAATTTACTGAGCCAAAATTCATTTGTTTAACATGTTATTTGTGAATTTCTTCGCTGCGGTTTTACTCTTTTCCTGGAGTCAAATGGTCCAAGGAAAATATAACCAACAACCAAAAAATGAAATCAAAGGTATGTTTTACATATGACGGTTAATACTTGATGGTCCTGATAATTATGCTATGTCCAAGAAGCAGGCTTCTTTATTGATTAGAGATCAGAAAAAGAATCTTGTAAAAATTCTTGCAACGAAGCCATTTAAAGAACGCCTTTTCTTGCGTGTATTCAGTCTTTGCCTTCGTATGGAGTGTGGATGGCGGGAAAAAATTTAGTTTTATTCTCTATCTCTACGCTCAGCCGAATAGAAAATGTTTCTGTTATAAGTATAAAGAGACAAATCAACAGACTGATAAATGGAGAGAGCCGCCAGCAATTGAGTTTATTACAACAGTGATAGTTATAGCAAAAACAAGGAATGTATTATAAAATAGAAATAAAGAGCACTAAGAAAGGCTAGATTAAGGGAACAACATAAATGCTGACAAGATATGCTGAAAAAAAAATTAAAAAACTAAAACAGAGTCAAATCGTTTTAACATAGCGATGCGAAAATACAAGTACAAATTAGACGTAGGTAAAACCTATAACTCCTACACAAGAAAACGAAAAAAGTAGCCCGACGAGTAAACTGGTCGGGGTCAAGTGATGTGAAATTCACAAGGAGTGTTTTATAAAGGATCTAATGGTCCCAATCGGAACTGAACTAAACAATGTAATCAACAACTAAACGAAATACATTTTAGTTTACTTCTGAACGACTCTGTGTCCCTGAGCCGTTAAAGCCATTCGTACGTTTTCGATCAGTGAAAAAACGAACATATGTAGCGGCTTCAATATCGGAAATAAAGAACCCGTTCATTGCATCCTCTTTCATCCTGGATTGCTGGCAATTTTCAGGTATCTGACTGCATATCGCATTTAGCTACCTGGTACTGATTGGAGGCCATTAGTGGTCTTTTGTTGTTGGTTCTTTCCCTTGCTCCGAGAGGTTTTTCTCCGGGTACTCCGGTTTTCCCTCTCCTCAAAAACCAGCATTTCCAAATTCCAATTCGACCAGGAATCAGGTAGACGAAGAACCACTATGTGGATGTGCTACCTGCAAATCGTTCTTTTTTTTTTTTTTCTTAGTCCTTCTTATAGAGTAGATCTTAAATCTAAACCCAGAGATAAAAAAAAATGTCCAAAAGAAGTACGTTCGCAACTAAGATTCTTCTTTGTATTCTTCAGATATCTTAAAGCTCTTTAATGAGCACGGCACAAGACTCCACAAGCGATCAGGTTAGTGTACTCCTGATAAAATCCCTTGAGAAGTAACCAGAGGAACTGAGATTTTAAGATTAAAAGTTATCTTGTTAAAAGTCCCTCGGCTCGGCATAAGCAATATCACCTGAGTTAACAAACTGGCATTTTCTTCAAACGCAATTAACTAGCCGGCCTTGTAAGATCCGAGAACAATACAAACACTGATTTAAAAACTCGCGGCGTTTATTTAAACTGGCCTGATGCTGATGGGGTCATTAGAGTTCGTTTGAGCCTGCAGAAATACGGCAGTACAGCGTGGTTAACATACCTAGGTTTTATTTTTTCTGATTTTTCTTTTAAATTTATCAGTTTCAGTTAACGTTCTTAAGGCTATTGGTAATTTATGCCAAAGATACGGACCAAGATATTTAATAGAATGTTTACCAAAAGTTATCTTGTTAAATCTAGGAATCATAAAGTCAGTTTTGCCGACTGTGGTGTTTGCGGACTTTGAAGATATTTAAGATTTGCGCCAAAATCGTTCTAAAAATAAAACTGGTCTGTGAAAACGTCGTGATACGGGTACATGGAAGTTGCTCACTCCAGATTATGAGCTCCTGTCCGGCTTTATTAACAATGAAATCTCTTGTGATTTGTAGCTCCATGCGTGGATACTTATCCTTCCTGTGACATTTACAAGCCTTACTGTGAACATCCTGACTACGTAGACTGGGTCAAGGACAACTGCAAAAAGAGTTGTGATCTCTGTCCAAAAGGTAAGGCGCAAGGGCGAGGCGCGTTTGAGTCAGGTGATTAAAGGATCAATTAACTACGAAAAATGTGCCACCTTCGACTGATCAACAATTTTTTTTTATTTGTTTAGAATGCATTGACCGCGTTTCCTATTGTGATGCTATCAAGAACAGATGCACTGATCCTCTGATTGCAAGCTCAATGGAGCATTACTGTGCAAAGACGTGTGGGGTGTGTCAAGGTAAAAACGTCAATGATCCGTCATTAATACATTCAGAGGAAATGCTGTTATTTTAGTACATAACAACGTATACCTTTAAAACTATTGTTTGTTTTCTCGGTTTTATATTTATTTATTTATTTATTTATTCATTTTACAGTCCCAACAACACCTCCGCCACCAACAACAATTCCAAGAACAGAACGACCCATTGATCAGGGTGAGCTAACGCAGTTGTATGACTGAGCTGAGCGTGTAATGATCAGTCGGTAATAACGCTATGTCATGTCACTTGGGTTGTTTACCATTCACAAACATTTTCCTGATAATCCGGTTAGGAAGTAAATGAAACACGCCTTCTTGGGTCGCTCGGGCGAAAAATTTCCCAGAGTAACGGAACATCTGAAAAAGGTAGTCCTGTTTGACCTGTTTTTCCGGATTGAATTCGTGTTCCATTTCTTCAAAGCCATCTTTGATACCACTTTCAGCCCTTTGCAGTCGTTTTTCGGTGAATGGAACCGTGATTTGTGCAAAGGGTAAACGCGATTCGCGGCAAAATTGACCAATTATGAATTTCACTCACCATTTGACCAAATCATGGTAACCGACCAGTTAACCCATGTAAATGGTAAACAACCTTAAAGCCTCAAATAATTCTATCATTACATGTCAGTTCTTTATGACATAGAAAGGAACAATAGTAAAACGTACTTAAACCTCCCCATATATTCAAAACTTACTGAAATGCTTGTTTGCCTAAGGCCGAGGTCTGAGCAAGCCGTCCTTCTTCAGGGGATTTAATGAAGAATCGTATGAGGATGATCACTATCAAGTTAAACACTGATTGAATATGCCTTGGACACCTAGTTAGTAATGCGCATTCATTACAAGAAAACAGCCAATAGTCAGATCGCGTACTTTTGTAGCCATAGAATAATACTCTAATATTATCAGGTTTTACTAAAATAAGATAAGGCAGGACTCTAATTACTGCATCGTCAGTTCTTCAGGTTGGACGTCTCAAACCAAAAATATATATTAAGGATAAGAATAACTTAATATCTATTTCCCTTACGCAAATCTAACGAATTAAAAACATAGTTAAAAAGGAAAAATCGAAAGTATTTACTGTTTGCACATCTCTAAAAGATCTTCAGTTGAGTTATCTAGGGTTTCAAATCGGTGATACACAAAACGTATTAACGGCCCCGGTTGTTGAAAAGATGGATAGCGCTACCACGGGATAAATTACTAATATATACCAATAACCAATATACACTGTCCAGTGGATAGAGATTTATCCCATGGATAGCATTAGCCACCTTTTGAACAACTGGGGCCTGGTCTGAAAATTAGTGGCGAATACGCGAAGTCGCTCTTTTCTTTAAACAGGAAGCGTGGAGTGTGGAAAAAAAGCCGTTCACAGCAGAATAGTGGGAGGAATAAACGCTCAACCAGGATCATGGCCGTGGCAAGTAACAATGGATTATACAGGAGAACCATCCCCTCATTGGTGTGGAGGTTCTATTATTACCCCTGAGTGGATCGTTACTGCAGCTCACTGTTTTGCCCACGGTGATGAAACTCACAAATACACTATTACCGTAGGTGAGGACAGCACTATTAAAAAAGCGTTAATCATATTTTCATAGTTATTCATTTTATTATGAAAGACATTATTATAAATATATCAAAAACTCTTCTAATTTAATTATTTCACCCTTTCTAACTTCTTCCTACCAAGTACATAAGAATAGCTTAAAAAGATTGAGTTAGCCAATTAATTATTGTTTTAAATGTAAAGCGTTTCCGCTTGATTTAGGAGCAAAGAAAGACCGAGGAACTGAATTTTTGGTTTTTGCCTCGCGAAAAATTTGACTAAGAGCCAAAAAATGAAAGAGGAGGGAGGGGGAGGGGGAGGGGAAGGAAGGAGAAGATTTCCTTCCTTTCTCTCATCCCCTCCCCGCCCTTTTACTCGCACCATTTCTCGTGCGGTCTTCGACTCTCGTTCCTCGTTCTTTGCTCCGAAACCGCACGGAAACGCTCGCTTGGCAGGCTATTAGACTCCCTTTGGCATGAAAAACGAAAACTATCAACCTCTGCGCGGCTCCATTGGCGCAATAGATAACAGCCTTTAGCTACGCCGAATAACAAAACACAACCCTTGGACATTTTTCAGTACCGCTCGCCATCTGTTGGCAGGGCAACCCCAGCAGCTTGAAACCAACAACTTCTCACCAATGACCCTAGTAATCGTCCTCTCCACCTGCAAAGAATAAGAAGCAACACCACGGTCTGTGTTCCCTTCTCCGAAGAACGGTGTGGGTTCTTGATGTCCCCTTCGAAAAGATAAAAAAAGTTGATAAGAAGCTATAGCTAGCCCAGAAAGGAGTGCTTTGCGCTCGTTGAGGCAGTGACGGGGAAATACACAATGAGCTTTCGGACCAGAACGTGAAAACAGCTGTCCGTGCTTGCGGCTGCCACTGCCCATTCTCGTCCTTAAATCCCGTCTTTTCTTGGTCACGTGGTCTTGAAACGAGGGGAACCACTGGTTCGTTCAAATTAAGCTGAGTGGGTCTGGGGACGAGAATGGCCACTTCCCGGGTGATATAGCTTTGTGCTTGTGTACCTAGTCCACCGTAGTTTAGTGTTCGAAGGAGTGTTTCCCTAAAAAGGAATCACGCGGCACAGTTTCTCTCCTTCTCTTCCTCGCCCTATCTTTTAAATGTTAAATGAAAGCGAGGATGTGATAAGTACATTTTGTTTGCTTTGAACATCGACAGGTGAACATAATCTCGACAGACTGGAGGGCTATGAACAGAATATCACCGTTGAAAGAATTATTAAACACCCAAAATATGACGCCTATAGTAATCACGACTATGACGTAGCTTTGATGAAGCTGAAGACGCCAATCAAATACAACAGTCACGTGAGACCAGTGTGTCTGGCAACGTCTGACTTCGATGCAGGAACCAATTGTTTTGTGACCGGATGGGGACACACAAGTGAGGGGGGAAATATCGCACGGGTAAATATCGAACCCTCTTCCTAACTTTTCTCCATTTGACCGAGTCTTAAAACCTGCAACCAATCGTTCTTACAATAATTAAAACTGCGAGATGAAATGCCATTTTCCTAGTAAAAAAAAATTCTCAAGGGGCTAGTATATTAAAACGAGTCTAGGGGCAGTATACACAACGTACCTAGGGTGTTTAGCGAATCAAAAAATACAGAAATATTAGTCCTCCTTCTTTATAAAAAAGGAGGGATTGATTACATAATTACTGTATGGAAAGCAATTATCGCTTGAGCATCAAAACGTTGGCTTTTACACGCTAAGCTATTTGTTTATGTCTAAAAATATCCTTTACTTCCTGCCATTCTTGATCAATCAGGTCACCTAAGTTGTATTGGTTGTTAGGAAATCGGGTCATCTTCACCAGCTGCCAACAATTGAAGCCAGCATTAAAACCCACACTCTTGCACTAATTTTTCCCAGCTGTGGTTTCTCCAGGCTACGCTACGAAGGCAGAGAAACCACTACTCGCAGGATATTTGTTTATTTTATGTCCGTTACGCGTGTGGTCACCAATAGAAAGATGACTCCGTAGAAACCAATTTAGTTAAACTCTTTTTTATTGCATTTAGAAAGCAAGTAATGAATAATCTAAATGTCATTGATTAATTTTAAATTCAAGTTTATCACTTCTTGCATGGTATGTTACAGATTTTGCAGCAGGCGGAAGTTCCCCTTGTTTCACGTGACACTTGCCAGAACGCCTACAGTAGCGTAGGATGGGGAAGATACAAAATCACAACACGCATGCGTTGCGCAGGTTATGCTGGTGGGGCGATTGACGCATGTCAAGGAGACAGTGGAGGACCGCTGGTCTGCGTCAGGAATAACAAATGGTTTCTTATGGGCGTGGTCAGCTGGGGAATAGGCTGTGCTCGGGAGGGAAGATATGGAGTGTACGCAGATGTTATGGATCTCAAATATTGGATTCAGGAAACCATAAATAAAGGCTAATGTGAAGTAGATTCAGAAAAACTCGTTGAGATGAAAATTTTGTGATCTTTGCTCTAGCAGATAAAAATAAATGTTCAACCGAAGAAAGTTGTGGAATTCCACATAAATCTAAATTGACTGTGTATTTATTGTTACTAACTTGTAAACATACTATAAAATATTACAGCTTATTACGAACAACTATGCTGTATTCTCCTCCTTGATTACTGACCAGCAAAACTGATTTTCTAAACAAGTAATATTGAAAGTCTTGCTTAGGATAAACAGACACTTCAGAGGAAGTTCTTATTTTTCCTTAGCGCTAGCTTGTGAAAGGATTATAAATTGAACGAAGAAATCGGTTGAAAGAAGAGTTTGAAGGAGTCACTGTCACCCTGTTTCTAATCCTGGTCACATGTTCTGGTCAGATTTTTTACAAACAAAGAAATGGTTTTGAGACTCTAAACAGAGTGTATGCGGCTACTGATTCCAGAAGGGTAAGTGACCCAATTTTCAGAAGACTGGTTATCCTTCGAGATAAAGAGTTTGGTCCTCCATAGTTTCGCGCACTGGGCACGTGGCAATAATGTGGTGCTGTGTTCTCTTGAAGTCTCTGCTTCGAGTTGACAAGTTCCCTCAATTCTGTGACTTTTTTCATCATCTTATCTTGTCTTGCCGTCTCCATCTTGAGGACCTGGCGATTCCTATCAACCCTAAATTGAGCTAATTCAATGTCCTGTCTCGTTTCTTCAAAGATATTTTCCATGCGAGCAACATCATCTTTAAAGTCTTGCAAACGATTCTGCAGATTTAACAGTTCTTTTTTCCACCGTTCTATTGCACTTTGCTTGTCATTAGAAGTTGAGTTTACTTGGGTCTTCATGTTTCTTTTCTTTCTTTCTTGTTTAAATAAGCCAAGCGGTTATTTTCTTTGGATTTGTCGTAGGCAGCGTAAAACGTTTTCAACTGTTTGCCGTTGTAGCCAAAATTGACGTAACAATTAGATTTTGTTCTAAAACAGCGCGCGCTTTACGCTGGGTTCCGCGCGCCCCCTTATATCTCTTGTATTGTTGTTTTATGAAATCGGTTAGAATTGACAACCCATCCACGTGATAGTTTCACCTTTGGAATTTCAAAACTCTAGCTCTTCTGGGTAATTCGGTGAGAGCGTAACCCAAAACCCTACCTTACCCCTCTTCAATCCAGGGCACATAATTTTCCCTACGCTAACCCTTCGGAGTCAGTCTTCCTCCTTGTTTTGCTAAAGGGTGGTAAAAGGCGAACTGAAATGTTCAGTTCTTTACTACATGATCAATATTTACTGCTCTCAGCAAACTTTTATATCGACGGTTCCCTTCTTTCCTGTGTAATTGTGCTTTAAAAACGTATGTGCTGTGTGTTAAGTAGGCCCTAAGAGCCATCAGGGTTGCAGCTAAGCGATTTGGAAAGGGACCCAACTTAGTGTGCCTCTTCGCCGAGGCCGCCACCGCCCCTGCCGAGTGCCACCCTTAGTCCCTGAGGCCGCCGTCGCCCCTGCCGAGTGCCACCCTTAGTCCCTGAGGCCGCCGTCGCCCCCGCCGAGTGCCACTCTTGGTCCCTAAGGCCGTCGCCGTCGTCGCCGCTCCCAGCATTTGTCAACAGAGCATCGAAGACAAATTCAAAACCGTTTTAAAAGTCCTTACAAAGTTGGCATTTCCAGAGCTAGCATCTGCCTAGACAACTCCTTTTACGATTTAAGGGAAATGCTTCTTTAGCCGGCGTTTAACTATGAAGCGCATTTCTTATTTTTTGGAAAGGCTTAAGGGGTTAACAGTTGGCCAAAAAAGCTTAACTGTGAGTAAAGTAGCGTCGTAACCTGTTAAAATCATGCCTTTTTAACTGTATGTGCTCTTAAAACACGGGCTCAATGATCAGTCCCACTGTTTTAATAAATCGCAATCAAATTTTCAAGAATAACTTTTCACAAAGTCAACAAAAACTGTTGAAAGTAAGTTCGTAACCTCTAAGGTACCAGTAGTAATGGGTTCCTGGCATGATGATTGCAATTTACTGCCGATTCATAATGAGTGGCAACAAACTCGTTTCAGTATGGTGGCCCACAACTGTCACGGCAAAACCAAAAACCTCACGGCAAAAAACAAAAACATCACGGCTAAAACAAAATACATCACAGCAAAACCAAAAACCTCAAGGCGAAAACAAAATACCTCACGGCAAAACCAAAAGCCTCACGGCAAAACCAAATACTTCACAGCAAAAACAAGATAGCTTTGGTTTTGCTGTGGTTATTTGCTTCTGCCGTGAGGTATTTGGTTTTTGCTGTGAAGTATTTGGTTTTGCCGTGAGGGTTTTGGTTTTCCCGTGATGTTTTTGTTTTTGCCGTGAGGTTTTTGGTTTTGCCATGACAGTTGTGGGCCACCGTATTTTTCTGTTTTATATAAACGCATACTAAAGCTAATATATAGATTTAGCCACGGCTAAAAGCGAAGCTCCCATTGAAAAGTTAAGTGATTTTGGACTGAAACAAATCTTGTATCGAGTTGATATAGCCTTATATGTACACCCAAAAATATCGAATGCCATTTGTATCAAAAATACTTCTTACCATATGTAAACCTTTACATTAAATATATAAAACATTTTGCTCTATGAATAAAACATCTTAGTTTTAGTATTAAGGTTATAGTGCACAATTAAAACTTGTTACAGAATATATAAAACTTGTTGAAAAATATAAAACTTGTTACGAAATATATCAAACTTGTTAAAATATAAAACTTGTCATGCAATTTATAAAACATGTTGCAAATATAAACTTGTTTTTCTACTTAAAAAAAGTCATGAATTTTCTCGTTGTAAATGTAAGTATATAAAACTTGTTAAAAATTAAAACTTGTCACGATATATAAAACTTTTTTCCGACAAGCTTGACAGGTGACGTCACATCCGAAATCGCCGAGGACGACTCGTAATGAGGCTAGTTGCATAAAGTTTACGCATGAACTTACCTGTCAAATTTTAACCAATCAGAGCATAAAAATTGGACGTGGAGCATGACCAACACGTGACCATGGTAAGAAAAGGTCTTGCCCGCCTGTATTTTAAAAAAAACTGGCTGAATTTTTGCGTCTGAGGTCAGTTTGAAATCAAAATCGTTATAGTGCGGGGCGATACTGACATAAACACAACATATTTGATATGAATTTTTAAAAAAAGTAAACGTGAGCCTTCAATCATTTGAAAACGAATAAATTGTCAGCGGATAACTTCGAAAATACTCGACCTTGATGGGTCGACACCTGAGCCCGCGATACGGTCAGGTGATACTGTTTTGCTTCCAAAGTAGCCTGCGTAGCAAGCGTTTCCTCGCGAGGTTCGTCTAGAAAGCTGGGACAAGAGCAAAAAAAAAATTAATGACGGGGGAGGGGGAGGGGAACCGTGAAATATCAAGGGGCGCTTTCCAGAATCGTGGGGTTTGCGGGCAAGCGTTTCCTCTTCTCCCCTCCCCCTCCCCCTCCCCCTCAACCTTTTTTTTGCTTCCTCTCTAACTTTCGCGCAATAACTCGATTGGAAACGCTTGCTACGCAGGCCAACCTCGTCCCCAGGGCTTTTCCCTCAAAAAATGGGTGGGGCTGGAAAAGGCCCTGGCATCGGCTGGTCACGTGTACAGCCTAAATATTCCTGAGAAGCTAATTTATATGCATCCCGCTGGTTTTTCGCTGACAGAAGGGAGTAACACTGGAAAATAATAACATCGCGAACTATGTCAATATTTTCGCGTATGTCCGATTCAAAAGCTTAAGATCCATTTAATTGCGCATTATTCAAATGCTACAAGTTTATGAAAGGGCGTACCGGCTCTACGTTGTCACTTCCAAATATGTCAAATGCTTAAGAGTTGAGACAAGCTGTTCTCGACTAGTACTTCAACTAAACTTCATCGTGACTGTGGAATTTATGCGATCAAGCGGAAAGTGATTTTGTCCAATGTCAAACAAAAATGCGAGCCTTTGCCTCCAGGATCTGCAGTGAATTTAAACAAATTAAACTTAACTGAAAGAGAATTGTTCATCAAAATGCTATATGGAGTCTGGTCTTCTCTACAGCCCGACCATGAAACAAACAAATCTCCGCGCCGGATGCAAGTCAGCCCTCCAGCCAGGAACGATGACAGGTCACCGATCTGAAACATTTGAAGACCTCTTGCATCTTTTCTCTTCCGAGGATAAGTACAAAGGATTTTCCTTATGTTAAAGAGAAGATTGACTGATCGATTGGAATCAACTACAGCTCTGTCGATTTTAAATGGACCCAAGTCTTTCTTGTTGCCAGTCGTTTGATCGCAGAGGTCAATGAATTTTTCGGGTCATTCAGGATAAGTCTAAACCAACGCGTGTCGCTATGATATGGCTGAGAGTTAAGGTGAATAGAACTAGGCTGTGCACTTCGCAAGAAATGAAATAAAATATCAGTACGACCCGGGATGTACGATAGCTTGTTTGTCATTTATACCTCTCTATAAACAGAAGTTTTACAAATGTTACTCGCTGTCCCCTTCTTAGAAATCGGAGGAAAGCAAAAAATTACCATATCCAATATCTGTGACAAAAAGGAAACCTTGTAAAACTTTTCGTTAATCGTCAAGACCGTCAAGAGATATAAAAGGTCGCCCAAGATCGCGCGCTGTGAGGTTACGCATAATTTTAGCTTTTCACATGGCGTTAATCTATTACACCCAGGATTTTAGGGTGTACGAGGAGACACGTGACCAGCCGATGCCAGGGCCTTTTCCCGCCCCACCCATTTTTTTAGGGAAAAGCCCTGGGGACGAGGTTGAATTAATGCATGGTCATTCTCTCTTGTGCATGGTTTATGTGCTTTATATAATCGACCGGGCAAGACAACTGAAACTGTTTCATTTTGTTGCGCCTGCATTTGCGCATGCGTTTACATTTCAGACGTGTGAACCGAGGCAACGCAAACGTCAATGCAAACGAAAGGATTAAAAAAAAAACAGGTTTTATCGTTTCCATGCCACCACGGCGAAGTGAAGTTCAAAGCAAGATGGTGTCTTCACGATATTATACGAGAAATTGGCAGTGAGCGTAAGGAAATATCCGGTGCTTCATGATAAACGTTGTGCAGATAAATTGAAGAAAACTCTTGCCTGAAAAGATATGGCAAAAGAATTGGGACCAAAAAACCGCATGTTTTACGACAGAAGATATAAACAGCAAATACGCTCAAGGGCTCCTGATTTCAAACTGTTTGCAGTATAAGCTTACATTTTCTGTTACATTGAATAGGTACTTGCAATTTTTAGTACGAAAACCACGAAAAGTAGACTTACTGCGGTCAAAGCTTAAATCTAGTCCGCCGTCTTGGAAAAAGTTTTTACTGTCCTTAAATGCCCCTGCGTGTCTTGCCTTCCCTAAATTTACGTTTGCATTTGCGTCGCACCAGTGAACAAGGTTTTATATGCAACTTTCCCAGAAACTAAAGACCCACTAAACCCAGTCTTTCACAATCGAAAAAATCAATCCTGCAAAAAAAAAGTGAAAAATAAAGATATAAAAGGATCGTCACAGTGCAAAATTAAACTCTCGCAAAAATTGCGGATGGGAAAGAATGGAAATAAGAAAAATGGAATTTCCGGCGTTTGAGTGGATACGAATTAGCCGGAAATGAAATATTTCTGCGGCACAGGAGCAGTGGGGACTGGCGCAGTTGAAGTGCAGCATGGGTAGAATGGAGCGCTATAAAAGGGACGCTTATCACGTGGGAAAGCATTCTAGGCCGACACCTCGTCTAGCTCATGTTATTTTTTATTTATTTATTTATTGATTTATTTTAGTATATATTTGATTTACTAGTGGCAGTTCGATTTTTCCAGAGGTTTCTTAGCTTGTTTGCGTTTCCTTAAATTATTTCGAGTTTGCCGTCCTTTGTTGGAATACTTGTTTTGTAAATAAGGGCAAAGTCCCTCCAGCCGTGTAGCCTTCGTAGGATGGGCTTTTCAGAGCATGAGCCATGGATCCTACCCAGATTTCCTGCCGAGTTTTTTTCTTTACTGAGGTTTTTTTCCGGCAGGTTTTTTCTGGCCTCCGTTCTGACAGTATTCTGTGTAAACTGTCGCTCAGCTCTGTTCTAGTTCTTACACCACATATTTGAATGTAATAGAAGATGTTGTATAATGTATTGTTATATCTACGGTGCTCGGCCGAAACAGCCAAAATAAACCTAATGGTTTTTCTATTCATGTTGTACTGCGTAGTGGAGCCGAAATAGTGGAAGAAAGAATGGAAACGAATGGAAGACAAGCGCACAAAGCATTGTGGATGTCGTATTTGGGGGTGTTTTTTGAGGTTTGAATGAAGCTGGCAACTTGTCCTGCTGGGTTTGTTTATGGTGGTTTTATTGTACTCGTAAAATAGCAACAAATTTGTCCTAAAGTAGAATTTTTAGCCTCAATAACATAAATGGGTAAGTAGCTGCTTATGTCGAAGAAAGATGTAATTTTGACCAAGCTAAATTTGCGTAGCGTTTACCGCGATTTTGATCTGTTTTCGTTGCTACAAATCCTCGGATTTTCAGATAGAACGTCTGACGTTCGCTGCGGACGATGCCGGGAGATTTGCAGTGGGGAAACTCTACGATTTGGCGACAGACTCTTCCATGCAAACTGCCTGCTTTGCCTAGGTATGTTTAAAAATTATTAGGAGATTTCTCTCATCAAATTAAGCCCGCGCGTTATTTTATTTAGCGTCGCGTGCCGTTCATTTTCCAGACTAGTCATTTTCGGCACAAAAATTCCCATGTTTGAAATTCATATCATTTTTGGCTGTAACCAATACTTTGTGTGACAGAAAAGTCGGTATTTGTGGTTTTCGGGATTAATTTTTCTCTTTTCTAACATTCCTGAAGCGATTTGATGCACATCTATTGCATCTAATATTTGAATATTCTGATTTTCGTCCTCTTGTAGATGTTAATTTTTTGCAAGTTAATATCCTTGCACACTAAGTCATTTTGTCAAGCAATAAGACACGTAAAATAGATAAATAAAACGCCGAACAATAATTATGAAGCGTTAACAGCTTTTATCGTATTATGCACTAAAAGCTGATTCAATTTTACTGTTCGAAATCAAAATTTATGTGAACAGTCTCCAAACAGAGCTTATTGTAAAGTAACGTGAAGTTTAACTTGTTTTTGTTATTCAATAGATATGAAGTGAGGCTTTGTTTATGTTTCCACCCTCTGGCATGCTTTTAGTTAACAAAATAATACTTGAAATAATGTGCAGTGTAATTAAACATGATTCATAAATGATTGTCAATTATTTAAATTTTTTAAAAGTGTAAATAAGGACGAAACTAACTTTCATTCTCTGAAATACACCTAACCTCTAATTATATTTAAGTACTTGGAAGGGTTCAAGTTGGAAATAACAGAAACAAAGAATGAGAGCTATTAAAATTTATTGTCATTTGAGCAAAATGCAAATGCTTTTTGTGCTCTTGATGTATTACTGAGAACAATGTTTGCTACTACAAGCCTGATTAAGCTGATCTAGAGTTCAGTTGCTCTAATAAGAAATATTGAACTCAATTTAAGGCAATTATGGTTGACTAGAGTGGACAAGAACTAGCACGTTTGAGAGTGGAAATAGCAACCCTTAGGGTAGGTGCTAGGGCAAAGGAACGAGAAGGACAAAACATGCATGAAATTATTCCTTTTATACCACTACATGTGAAATTTCTGCAATTTGATTGGCTTAGAGCGGTGGTATTTCAGCTTAATTTGAAATACCTACATGTGAAAATTACAAACCTTTTGCAGGTAGTAGTATAAACAAATAATAGCACGATTTGTACGTGATATTTGGCATAAATACACTTGTGATATTTCAAAATTGTCTCAAATTTCACAAGCCGTCGATATTGCAAAATTGTCTCAAATTTCACGAGCCGTTATCACTATTAATCATGCTATTAACTATACAAATTTCACTCTTCGCTATTTGAGTACACATACAAATAAGAAATAGTATACAGAGAGACGTAGAACAATTTGCTTTAACTGGTCCTTGGATTACTTAGACAAGATCTGATCCTGATAGAACATGACTATTAGCCTTGCCTCCAAGCAGTTCTAAAAATCCAAATAACTAATCACAGAAAAAGGTGCAAAAAAGGTCTTTGCTTTTGAAACCAAGCTTGTGTTAAGTCAATCTTTCTTTTAAGAAAAAGAGCTTTCCCCTGCTGAGTGTGAAATGAAAAGGGTCTTTGAAAGGACCCCTTATTGATTTTGAGATATACTCATGAGAAAGTTATAAATCTGGATCATGTCTGGGCTCTAAAAAATACTGTTCGCTGTCCAGGACGAGTGATTTTCCTGTCGAGAAAGTAACTTTTTCGTTCTCAGTTATACTGTGCAGTGGGCAAAGGCTTAGGTAAGTCGTCTTGTAAATACATCATGAACAACAATGCAGTAGTCCCGGACATTGGGCACATAAAATTTTGGGCATTGCCTATTCTTAGTCAAGCTGAAGTTCAAGTTTATTTTTCAAGCCCTGCATGCGACTGGACCGAAGTAGCATTCCAAGACTTGATTTTTGTCGGTGTTTAATTTTCATTGATCTGATTAAACAAACCTCTGTTTTTATTGTGCCATTACATTTTTTTGCAGTTTGTGGCAGAGATCTTGCAAATGTTGGTTTCTTTGTGCAAAATGACCAATACTTCTGTCCAGAAGATTTCCAAGAGCGCTTTGGTACAAAATGTGGCATTTGTCATCAGTTTTTGGAAGGTGAAGGAATAAATGTTGGTGGAAAAGCATTCCATGAGAGATGCTTTGTATGTGCTAGTTGCAGGTACAGTGTATAGTATTGAAGGATAAAAATTGTTTGATGTTTGCCTAGTGTGGTATTAAATCCCTCTGCCCTGCTGAAAAATGTTGCTTGAAGTTAGTCGAACTGCTTCCTCTCCTTACCATCTGGCCTAAACAGGGCTTCTGATATTTTGCACGGTTGCGGAGCCCTGAAGATCTCTTCCCTCTGAATAAGTTAGGTGTCAAAGTTGTCTATGAGTGTTATTGATGATGTCACAAGTCAGCTGGCACAGTTTTTCTAGGTTTGAATATGTTATCATAAAAGCTGCTTATCGATTGGAAAATTATGACTAATTTCGGCAACTCATGGCTTGTAAAATTACATATAATCACAAAATATCAGACCATAATTTTATAATGTTTGTCCCACTGAAAGTAAATTTCCATTTCCAAATTTCCAAACAAGGTTGCAATGCATTGAATGATGGTTATTTTAGTTATCAAGGTACATGTATGTATGACTTGTGATTGTGTCAAAAATAAAACCACCTTCTCAGGTAGACTCATTATTTCACATTATTCGTAAATTATGGATGTCTGCTACTAAGTTAAGATCCATTTTATTCAGAATGGTGACAGACTTGGGCAAATTATGCTTGTACCTTTGTCTAGAAATCCTTTTCCACCTGGGGAAAAAATTGTGTCAAGAGGTAAAGAATACATCTGCCAGCGATGTAATGCACAGGAGAAGAGTGCTGACGTGAGAGGACCAAAGCTCGAAAGTAAGTTCAGGAATCTTAAGTACAAGACTGAAATGTTTAACTTCAGGAAATTTACAATATAGCCCTGTTCATACGATGCAAAATTTTGTTTGTTTTGCAAAAAATCTCTCAATAGGAAGCCATTTCTAGTGAGAATGATTTTTTTCGCCCGCCAAAAGCTTCACAAACATCACCAAACTTCAAAGTTAGGTGACAAAATCCTTTGTTCCTTGACAGCTATCCTTCATTGGGTCATCTCATTTCATGAACATTACCAATGAATTATTGTTCCTTTAATTGATGTCTTTGGTCGCACAAAAAATTTCATGTGTGTGTCTTAAGTGCCAACAAAGTTAGTCAAAAACAAAAAATTGGTTAAGTACAAAATTTTCAAACTCTGTGCAAGCACCAAACTATATTTTTTGTCATAGTGTGAACAGGGCCTATGCAAGCAGTCTCCTCTCCTCTCTTCAGATCACTCCCCATTTTTGTTTTAGGCCAATGTTAAATTAAGGTTAGTATTTTTTAACTTTACAGTCATGTACATGTAGGTTGATTCTTAATTTCCCTTTTCTCCCAACCCCAATTCGTGAATAGTCATCTGGAGTTAGGAGATAAAGGATAAGTTAAGAATCTATCAAATTTCAATGATTTTCACCTGAATTTGCCATTGACTTACAACTTCTACACCCGTTGGTGATGTTCTCTTTTTAATAACTAATGAATTGGTTAGCTCTCCAGTTGACTTGATTAGCTTATAAACGTCATATACATTATGTAGTTGGATAGGTCATTCTGTAAACAGGGCTTCTGATATTTTGAGGAAAAAAAGCAAAATTTCACGGGATTTTCAGGGGCAAATTCGCGGAAAAATCGGCCGATTTCGCGGGATTTTCGCGGGAAAAAAGTCAAAATTCGCGGCACAATCAGCCGATTTCGGGCGATTTTCGAGGGAGAGAAGTCAAAATTCGCAGAAAAATCAGCCCATTTCGCGGGATTTTAGCGGAAAAAAGTCAATTTTCGAAGGATTTTCAGGGGCAAATTCTTAGGAAAATTGGCTGATTTCATGGGAAATTTCGGGGGGAAACTTCGCCAAGAAACAATCAGTAAAAAACAGCCAATTTTGCTGGGATTTTTTTGGCAAATTTGGCTAAAATTGATCAATTTTGCGTCGATATGACCAGCGTAGGTGAACGTTTTTGTAGCAGGGTTAATCATTTGCTCTTTTTGATATTTATCCAATGTATGATTGTCTGTCTGTAGGGTGTGCTGGATGTGGAGAGGATATCCGTAGTGGGCAGTCGCTCTTAGCTCTAGACAAACAGTGGCATTTGTGGTGCTTCACATGCACCAAATGTGGTTGTTTGTTAGCTGGAGAGTACATGGGCAGGTCAGTAGACAACATTTTGATAGGGGCCTGGGTACTAGCCTGTTATTGTGTTTTCTTGATCATTCTCTGACAATGTAATTTGTGATTACACCGTATTATCATAAATTACTATTTTGCCGGCACGTATCAGAGGTCTGGGGAGGGTGTTAGTGCGCAGTGAATCATGGGATTCGAGTTTGTTATTCGTGGTCGTTAGGAAGGTGAGGCATTTTACAGTCAGCCTTCACCGTGTTAGGTTGCTTTTCTCTCTTTTATTTTATTCATGTGTTTATTGATGTTTATAGTTTAGGCACTAGCATACCCTAAAACCCCAAGGGTTGCACCACTGCCTTGGTCGGGGGTACACGTTCCCCGTGTTTTTTCCACCTGCTGGTTTTTTGGGGTTTTCGTGTCTGGCTTTGGTGCTTCTGTTCTTTCGTTTATAGATATTACTTGATATTTGTACATATCTGCATATATGTTGAATAAACGGCACGGTGGATTGGCTGGCCCACGCGCCCATATATGAACATTGTTGTCTTGTGTGTACCGGTTGAGTAGTGGAGGCAAAATAGGATCAGTTACATTAAAAGAGATTCTCTTGTGAAATGGATAGACCCCTATTTACACAACCCAGTAAAGTAAGCCAGCAGCCTCACAGTGGAATATTTGCCACCTAGTCAACATTTTTAGGTTTAGTGATATTAAATTAAAAAAACTTGCAAATTTGGGCCTCTGCCTTCTGCAACTATGGTTATCCTGCCTACCATACAAAGTAAAACATTTTGACGGAGCTGAGAACGGTTAATTGATATAGGATTGGGATTTTCCTTAGTTGTAAACAATTGTTTTACAAAGATATTCCCCATCCTAGTATATAGATTGATACCAATTTGGTTGTAATATCTCATTAGTTAAGATTAATTGAGTACATGTGTATTTTGTATAGTAATTATTAACCCATTCGCTCCTGGAGATTTTGCCGAAAAACGCGTTTTGAAGCTAGTCGAGTGGTTTTCTGGTCACTGTCGTGCTATAAAGAGCTAAAAGTTGGCACAAACCGGTTTACAGGTCGTACACTTGGCGGCCTTCTGATCCAGATGCAAAATATCAGCTTGCGAAGTTCGGGCTTTTACTTTTCGCTTTCTCTCCTCCCTTCTTTTTTCGCTTTTCTTGCCTCATTTTTTTTTTCTCTTGCTGGGCATTTAGTACGTAGGCTTCATTTTGGTGGGAAGAGTTTTTAGGAAAGCTTTTAGGATCTTAGGATTAGGTGAAAGGAAAGGTAGGTGGGTAATGGAACAAGATTTTCATGGAGATTTTCAGGTCCTAGTCACGTGGTTTTTTGCTTCTTTCTCCGGTGTCCTTGACTGAATTGTGCTCATTCTGGTATGGTTTGAAAGATCTCTTCACTCTGCACAAGTTAGCGAAGAAAGTTGTCCTTGACCGTTAAAACTGATGACTTTTTTTTAAAGTGCATTGAAAACTTGAACCTTTTCTCAGGGATGGCAAGCCTTATTGTGAAAAGGATTACCAAGCTGAATTTGGGGTAACATGTGCTGGGTGTGGTGGATATATCATAGGAAAAGTTCTTCAGGTAAGTAAATTAATGATACACAAAATTTAAATACTGTAGATATACTGGTCAAGATTCTTATTGGGTTAAATTTACCCATGTACTATCTTAACAACAACATCCTTCTCAAATCCTACAGTATTTAATGTAGGCATCATCAATGTAGTGCTTTTAATTTTAGTGAACCCAGAAAGTTTTTCAAAATGTGTAATCTCTCAGTTACCAGTCTGATCAATCGACCCTTTGGAATTTAATATTCAAATGTACAGTGATGAACATGCGTAGAAAAAGTGTGTTATGAAAATCATCAATGCCTGGCATTAATTTGATATCAATCAGAAAAATATAAAGTTGGGATTACGTGGTGTATGACCATGTGTACCTAAGATGGACAATCCAAGAATTTTCTTAAAAACTTTCCCTCTCCCTTCAAATACAATGTAGTACAGACAAAAGTGAGGACAATTTATAATTTAATATCGTCAGTTAACTTAGTGTTATTGAACATCTTGACCTCACCAGGCAGGAGAAAAGCACTACCACCCACAGTGTTCAAGATGTGCTAGATGTCATGGAGTGTTCGGTGAAGGGCAGGAAATGTTTCTACAGGGTAAGAGAATTAACTACTGATGTTATTTTATATTATTTTTTTCACAAAAATTCTTTAAAAAAATGTCAGTAAGCGTTTAGGTATCATGTTTACATGGAATATGTTCTTCAAGGAAGATATTGCTTCTTAAGAATATTTTATTTTCAACTTGTGTTTGTAGCTGTTGCTACATGTACCTAGTGTGTTTATATAGCAGTTTTTGTCTGTAGGGTCAGAAATTTGGCACCCAGACTGCAGCAAGGCAGCAGCTCTAAATGGTGAATTGGATCGTTACCCAGTAAGTACTAAATCTAAATGGCATCAAAATCTAACTCAAGGTGGATTTAATAAATTAATATCCATTTCTTTGATACTGTGATAAGCAATCACAAAACTTGTTCTTTTCCTTGTCTTTCTTGGTGATTTACTTATTTGCTCTTTAATTTATGTATTTTTATATTTCAAAATTGTAAACAACAATGTCCCTGGTTAAATTTCTGAAACCCTTTCCTTCATGTGAAGTTCCTTTGCAGGTTATTACTACATGTAGGTAAGGATATGCTGTTCACGGAATTTCTCTACTTGTTTTGCAGGCAGCACCAAGGGATGGATATCGTGATGGTAGGCACATGTCTTATTTGTTGTGATTTTGAGTGTCCTCAGAAGTGATTATGATGGTTCAGGAGGCCTAACTGCTGTTGTTATATAGCGATGCCACATAGACAAAAACATTTTTTGATCTAAAGGGAAACCCTAAGTAGCAGATATATAATGTCAAAAGGCAATGCTGCATTAGGAAGATTGTAATTATCTGTCATCTAATGATGTTGTATGGGTATTTCATTCAGATACTATGTTACTTCATTTTCATTGTTAGATGATTAGTATGATTCTGTATTGGTTAAGCAGGCCATTATTTTTGTAAAGGTTGTAATTTTATTTAAATAGAAGAAGATGCCCACCGCCCCTCTCCTCCCACTCGCACTTCAGCAAGTCGCACCACAGACTGGAAAGTGAAATATTCACCTCAAGGCTCACGAGATGACGTAAGTTACAGAGCTGTTGCAAGAAGTCAACCACAGGTGGGTGAAAACTACCTTAATCCTGTATGACACTAAACAATTGTATCATGTTGACATCAATATGATTATTTAAAACAATCTTTTAGAAGTAAAAGGGACCTAAAGGAAACACCAATTCGACTTTTACTTTCTGCAGTATGCAGTAATTAAAAAATAACTCTTCAGATTTTAAAAGTGCCATAAATAAAATAATACATGGAAAATCAAAATTGTTTGAACTAAAGCTTCAAAAGTTCTAGGGTGCTTTATACCATTACTCAAACCACCCAGGTAGGAATCTTGCGCATAAGCAGGAGAATCTAACATGTGACATGGTGGAAAAGCAGCCAGCTACAAAGTATATCAAAATCAGGTGAACAGACTAAAAAGAGTAGAAAAATTGCATTGCCTCAAATCATAGCCTGTACATGTATTTTCTGAAGTTTCTCAAACAGAATGGTGTGAGCCATTTGATTTTCCAGCCAGAGCTTCCAGTTTTCCCACAAAAATGGTTAGTCCTTTGATGCCATTCATGTTTAAATATTTCGAAAACAAACTTCCTCAATATGCCAAGGATTGACTGGGCCATTAACATTTTTTCTCATAAATTCAATACGGAACCATTGTCATTTTTGTCATTTTTCTTCTTGTGAAATAAAGTATTTGGAGTTATAAGCTTATTTCAGTCATATGATTAGCTTCAAATTTTTAATTTGAACTTTTGTTCTGTAATGTTTTGTTTAAATTATTATTATTTAATAGTTCAACTTCTTTATCAGAGCTCGATACACATCCTTACAGTGATACCCTTGTACTTGTCTTTGCAGGAAGAGAAGCCTTCATATCAACAAAGTAGCTACTCTTACAAAGATACAGGATATTGTAAGTGTTTTTATTTCATTTTATTTTTCTCTACAGTAAGTATTTTGGCTACTTAATTTTTTTATTTTAATGTAAAACTGAACCATTTGTCATACATATTTCTTTTTAATCAGATAACGGCCAGCCATACAGGGAGGTCACTCCAAGAAGAGAGGTATCAGTAGATTTAAGCTCTTAGTACTTTTGTTCTTCTCAACATGGCAACCAAAACACTTACAGCTACAGTTTAAAGCAGTCTTCAATGAAAACTATGTTAATATGGGAGAAGCTACAGTCCATTACACAGTACATTTTTCAAGCACATGACTTTCCCCTCTCCTCCCCCCCACAGTTACATGGCCAAATCAACAATATAAAGGAGAGGTACATGTAATGAAGCGAAGGCAAATGCAAAAGCAGATGGCTGAAGTAGTCATTTTGTAAAGAATATACTGGTTTATGTTTTTGTTCTTGATCTGTTTTGGAGGGAAAACATCTTAGTGTACCTGATTAAAAGCCTTTGGGGTTCAAATTGTTTCGGCTGACAAGTGGTGTGTATTCAAGACAAGTCTCTTATCCATTTGTGGTAATTCAAGTCGTTGACAATGTTTTTATTGTCTTTTGTAGGAGAGTCTTAATGCAGTACCACAGGAAGAAGGTATGTACCTGGCCCTGGTTGTTCAAAAGTTGGATAGCACTATCCACCAGATAAATCACTATCCAGTGGATAAGTATTAGGAAAACTAATTACGCTATCCAGTGGGTAGAGATTGATCCAATGGATAGCGCTATCCGCCTTTTGAACAACTTGGGCCTGGACTGTACACCTATCGACTCTCCTAAGTTCCTTACCAGCCCTGGGACTTCCTATGCTCCTTGTTCTGTGCTCTTTACTTTTCCCCTCCCTCCCCTCCCCTCCCCCTTGTCCAAGAGTCTTTTCTCTTTCTCCTGCACAACGCAATAAATGTAGCAGAGATGTAACAGGTGAAACGTTCATGTTGATATGTTCATACCCCCTATACCTGTAGCATCCACTCACTACTTGTTTGTAATCCTTAAATATCTATCTCATGTTGTCTCTCACTATAAGACAAGCAGATCCCAAACCCCACTCCCCTCCCATTGTTTGTTATTAATATCGTCTGACCTTCCCTCTGACGTTGATTCCTCTGTTATAGTAAAAAGAAATCTCTCGCATTCATTAACAAACCTTAGAGAGCTTCAAAAGTCTCCTTAAGCTTAGTCGGTTTTACAGCATCTCTACGAATATTTATTTATTTATTTTTAACACCAAACTTACAGGAATCAGCCATACTGAATCAAATGTTGCAACTCTGGTATTATTTTCAGATTCCAGATCTCCGTATGATGAAGACTTGGACAGAGAGGATTTCATGAATAAAACACAAGTGAGTAATAACTATAGGGCGGCTTTATACATTTTTTGACAGAACACAAACTGATTTGTTTTGAAACAGTCATATTAAATGGTTAAAATGAGGGGAGCGGGAAATAGCGCCTTCGTGAACTTTTCACTTCTCCGTTATTTTTGTTCTGCCAGTTATACCCCGGTGTGGAGCAAGGGTGGGGCATTGTTGAATGTGGTATGGGTTTGTATCTCAAAGTCGACACTGTTTGTCTGCTGAGTTTGTTATTTGTTCTTAGGCTTTCTCTTAGATTTTTTACTTGAACACTTATAAGCGAACTCTTAAGAACTCTTATGTTTTCGATGGGTAAACGCTTAGATCCAGTGCGCTGATATTATTATCAGGGAGGGGAAAAGTCTTTATTTACAGCATAATAATAAGCACTTAATTGATTCTCAGGTATACCCGTACAAAGCACTCGTGACTACAAATTACAAATTACCAAGAGGAGTTGACAAGACAAAACTTGAGGTAAACGCACCTGTGTTTTGTGAGGTGCAATACATATGAGAGGTCAACAGCACCTCTCCTGTTGACATTATACATGTATATGAACAGTATACTCAGACATGAGTTTAAAATAAGGACTCCACCGGGTACCGCTATCGGTCCATTTAGGAGTTTGTTTTATTTTAGATGTGTGTTTTTAATTTAAGTGAAGTGAGAACAAGGTACCTGTAAGAGGCTGACTACACCACCTGGTAAACTGAAATGCACAAGTTGTAATCAGAGCTCCGATATTGAATTAACACTTTATACCTTGATTACATTTAAATGGTGGTTATCCCACTTCTAAACATCCAAAACTGCTACGCCTCACTCACTAAAAAAACACGTTTTAATTAATTCAAAACTCGTCTCCTCGCCTCATGTTTCAAAGTCTTCTTTGCTCTAAGTGAGGCATGGTAAAGATTGTTTGTTTGACTGATTGATTGATTTATTGATTGATTGATTGATGGCTTATTTTCGTTTTTAGACCTACCTTTCTGAAGAGGAGTTTGAAAGGGTGTTTTCCATGACAAGAGATGAGTTTTACCAGCTGGCGCAGTGGAAACAACAGGCTCGCAAGAAGGAAGTTTTACTGTTTTAAGAGCAAGTTTGCTGTACATGCAGACGTCAATTCTCCCGGGGGCTGTTGGCAATGTTAGCAGTGTTTCTTTTATCTTTTTAACGTGATAATTTTTTTGTCCAAACTTCCTGCAGATCGACTGTTAGGACAGTCTTTCTTACAATTTTCTCATTTTATTTCAACGGCAGCCGTCAGAAAACAAAGTCCGCTTTTCCTACAGTTTAATATTAAATACTGAAGGAACTGGATTTAAAATGAAAAGTTAAAAATGATGCAAGAAAAGACGTTAAACTTAGGAGACAAATCAGTGTCAGAAGAAGACGCTCTACTTTTTATTTTATAGGCCTGTTTTCTTTTTTACTGTTCATAGTAAGGTTCAAAGATCACAAGATGAAGTGTCTACTTTTGACCAATGAAAGTAGACTGAAATTGACAGTCAGATATATATTTAACAATTATTCACTAAACAGGAGGTTAATCTTGGCCGATATTTACCACGCTAGCGTTTATCACAAGTACCTTCTTGAATATATATTTTATTTTAGTATCTACCATACTAGTGAACAGCAAAAGTCAGGAGTATTTACCACGTACGAGCGCAAGTATCTAAATTTCGTAAGCAATCTTCAGCAGGCTGCCTAAAATGTGTACAGTTCCAATAACACAGAGATTGATACAAAATGTCGTACGTCCCCGCGCGCAATGGACGTTCCAAGGTGAAAAACAAGTGCTGTTTGCCTCCAAATTAACAAAGCAGAGTGTGCTTGAAACGCTTCTCATATATATTTAGTAGTGGAATGAAGAATACTAGGGTTGCCACAGTCATAGAACAATAATTTTTTCAAAGTGAGGAAAAAGTCTGGGAATCTTGCAAAGTCAAGGAAAAGTTAGTGAATTTTATTATTACGATGTCTTGAGGATCAACAAGAAACATATTATTCAGAAAAAACGTTCCTGCTTGAAGATGATCGATTTTGACGATCAAAATTCTTTGAAAAACTATCCGCGTATCTCGGGAAGATATTAAGAGACCGAAAATGAAAGCTCTCATGGCCTGATGAAAATATGAAATGCAAGGAAAACCGGGTAATTTTATTTTTCTTTCTATAAAGCCTGGTTAATTTGTCGACAGTGGAACCACGATTTTACAAACCTCTATAAAACAAAGACCTTGGTATAACGAACGATATTCCTAGCCCCGGTAATGGTAAAATGTTTGGAAAAGCAGCTCGATATAACGAAACCTCGTTACAGCGAACATATTTGATCAGTCCCTTAGCACTTCGTTATATCGAGGTTCCAATGTACTTGTAGCCTGCGTAGCCGCCATCGGATGGGGTAGGAGATTTGGAGGAAGGGGAAAAGGGACGGGGATTTCATGCTTTTCTTTTCTCCCCCCCCCTCCCCTCCCTCTCCCCCTCCCTCTCCCCTTCCCCTTTTTATGCCTGCCACGCAGGCTACTATACTTGGTGTTAGTTGACCATGAAGTTAGTTTGATTGACACCTACTCGGTATATCCCGGATGACTTTTAAATGGTATGAGTGTAAAACTGTGAGGTTATTCAAATTGATCCAGCCTCATAATTTAGCCCTCGACTGATTAAACAGTTTATATTCGTACCGTGGACCTGTCACATACATTTCAGAGACAGTATGATCATTTCTTTATTTCATGCGTTGATATGCTCAAAACAAGTGAAAATATTTTATTTGTTATAAAAACAGAAAGCAGAACCATTTAACCTTTAAAACGAACACCATCATAAAGCAGAAACATCTTGATCAGCAAAAGTTGTCTACCTTAATCCAACTCCTACCGCTATGATTTGAACAGCTCAGTCCAATGCGGGGACTTGGTATTGCCCCATTTGGTGTTAGTCCCAGTGAGGTTTTTTCTTTTTCTCGACAGTTATAAGAGCTACGAATATTATTATGTTCAACAAGAAGAATAAAAGAAAAGAAGCATCTTAAAAACAGAATGACCAAGAATTGAATTGATAAATTTAGTTAATTAGTTTAATATTTTATTCGAGATTATTGTTACAAATTATTATAGCCCGTTTAGCTTTTATTAGTACTGTCCTCGACGTTCATTACCAAAGGAAATTGTAAAGATGCGTCGCTTATTATATTTCTGCTTGTTATGATACATATGCTACTTATATTATTGAGTAAAACTATATTAAGTAAAAATAGATTTTATTGCCAATATTATATGATTAAATAACGTTTTTCACTTTTCAGTAAAGATTAGGATACAAGCAACGTATAATAGCAACAAAAGAAATTGCATATTTGAATATTTCTGTATGTTATAATCTCTTTTGAAATGAATCAGATGTTATACAAAGTGAAAGACTGAATAAAGAGTTGAGAGTAGACAGTTTTGTCGTGTTTAAATGGCGTGCCTATCAATAATCCGATTAAAAGAACCTCATTTAAACACCTTTGAAACTTGATCAAAACAAAGAGCAAGAATAAAGATCAGGGAGTTTTCAAGAAGTTAAGAATATCCTTGTCAAAGACAGTGAAAAATCAGGCATTTCCAGTTTTTAACGCGTTTCTTGGTCCAAAGGTAACATTTGTATCCCTAAACCTGATCAAAATCCAAGGAATACTCTAGCCTGCTTGGCAGGCATTAAAAGGGGAGGGGAGGGAAGGGGGAGACCCGTTTCAACGCTTGCTACGCAGGCTATGAAAACTGTAAGGAGATCAGGGGCGTGATCCGCACGTGCGTAGCTAAAAAAGCTGAAGGTTAAAAAAATTGTAACAAAAATAAAGTTAAGGTGTTTCGATATAGTTTTTCAGAGGCCATACCGATATTTTTCAATCGCTTTAAAAGTGATTTTACCCTTGTCTGATCGCCATAAAATTTTCACCAATGATTGACTGTAGATTGAAATTGTGAAAAGGTAGTTTTAAGTAGAATCGATTCTACTATGACAACAATAAACAAAAAACTTTGAAATGGATAAACGCCTTATTTTGCGCGATCTAGACCAGCTATTGAAAATCCAACACTAGGAACTAATAGTTTGGTGTTTAGCAAATAACCTCCTTAACCCATTCGCTCCTGGAGATTTTGCCGAAAAACGCGTTTTCAAGCTAGTCGAGTGGTTTTCTGGTCACTGTCGTGCTATAAAGAGCTAAAACTTACCACAAACCGGTTTACAGGTCGTACACTTGGCGACCTTCTGATCCACATGCAAAATATCAGCTTGCGAAGTTCGGGCATGCGCAGAAAGCAAAATTTCGAGATTTCGAGATTGGGTTTAAAAGTGGCACAGCAGTCTTGACTTTTACTTTTCGCTTTCTCTCCTCCTTTCTTTTTTCGCTTTTCTTGCCTCATTTTTTTTTCCTCTTGCTGGGCATTTAGTAGGCTTCATTTTGGTGGGAAGAGTTTTTAGGAAAGCTTTTAGGATCTTAGGATTAGGTGAAAGGAAAGGTAGGTGGGTAATGGAACAAGGTTTTCATGGAGATTTTCAGGTCCTTGTCACGTGGTTTTTTGCTTCTTTCTCCGGTGTCCTTGACTGAATTGTGCTCATTCTGGTATGGTTTGAAAGATCTCTTCACTCTGCACAAGTTAGCGAAGAAAGTTGTCCTTGACCGTTAAAACGGATGACGTCACAAAGGGTAGAAAGGACCTGGGGCCCGTTTCTCGAACGTCCCGATAATTAACGGGCCCGGTAAGCTGTCTCCGTTTACATTAAAGATCGAGGTTTTAATAGTTTTGCATCTAACCCGATAAAACTGTCAGTTAATGAAACAAAATGGAGTAGTTTTCTAGCCAGGACCCGCGCTCTTATTCTTTATATTTCGATTTGAATATTTGATTTCGGGCCCGTAAAGTTACCGGGACTTTTGAGAAACGGGCCCCTGGATCCGCACGGGCGGTTACGGACGGTTCAGGGGCGAATGGGTTAAGAAGTAAAAAATTCTGTCTGTTTGAATTCGACTCAAACGAAAATACATTTCAAACCTTAAATTTTCAATAGCCGTGATAGATTATTTAATAAAAACGTTACAAAAGACTCAAATTATTTTAAGTAGCGTCAGAATACTGGTTAATATCATATTTCCATGCTAAGAAATTTTGGTGTATTTTCTTTCGTTCCTGCGATCTTAAAAACTAACCCGTTTTCTCACCACCTGTCTAGGTGCAACGTCATTCAAAATTTGGACTTTTAGCGCTTTTTTGTATATCTCTGAAACGACTCGAACGTTATGCTTATTTTTCCAAATTAATGCGGACAATACATATATCCATGACTAGCACATTTCAGTGTGAATATTGTCAATAATTTACATTCAAAAGATGCGATAAATTCAAACTAAAATTTGCTAGTCATGGAGGAGGGGCACCCAACGAGAATATAGTTCAAAACCACTTAAATATAGCATTGTTAAACGTGTTTTAGTATTTAAACGGTGAATATGGGCATATTTTTATCCCCTATAAATTTTTCACCTGTTCGGATTTCCTAGCTGAAAGTCAAGTGATCCGAAAATTATAGGGATCAAAACTTACCTGTTCGAAAATTTCAGCCAGAAAAAAGGCTCCCGAAAATTCTAGGTGACCTTTTTAGGGTAAAAATCCGTTGAAAATGGGCAATTTTACCATGTTTTAGATGTTCGAAAATCCTAGGAGAGGCAGGCAAGCAAGTAATTTTACAACAAATGTTCCGAAAATTCTAGATCTCAAATCGTCTTCCGAGCAGATATTTTTCCGAAAATTGTCGTTGGGTGCCCCTGATGGAGGTATGAATAGTGCGCATTATGTTGGAAAAATTAACATAACGTCAAAACAGTGAATGTGGTAACACATATTTTTGACTGGTAAGTAGGATAGGTTTGTCTCGAAATTTCAAGATGTTGCAGTAAATCAATCTTAATGAAAGTTTCAGACATTATTATATGTAAAAAAATTCGTTCCAGTCGTTTCAGAAATATTCAAAAAGCACTGAAAGTCCAAATTTTGAATTAAGTTGCACTTAGACAGGTGGTGAGAAAACGGGTTAGTTTTCAAGATCGCAGGAACGAAAATACACCAAAATTTCCTGGCATCGAAATATGATATTAAGCAGCATTCTGGCGCTACTTAAAAATAATCTGAGTCATTTGCAACGTTTTTATTAAATAATCTATCACGCCTATTGAAAATTTAAGGTTCGAAATATATTTTCGTTTTCGTTTTCGTTTTTACTTCTTACGGAGATTGTTTGCCAATCACCAACCTTTTCAGTAGCTGGTCTAGATCACACAAAATTAGGCGTTTATCAATTTCAGAGTTTTTTGTTTATTGTTGTCATAGTAATATCGATTTTAGTTAAAACTACATTTTCACAAATTTCAATCCATAACCAATTACTGGTGAAAATTTTATAGCGATCGGACAAGAAAAAAAACACTTTTAGGGCGATTGAAAAATATCGGTATGGCCTCTGAAAAAAACAAATAAATATATAAAAGAAAATTGTGCGTGTACGTCCCTAGAGAAGGTGGAGTAAAACGAGAGTTGAGCCACAGCAAAACGAGAGGGAAATTTGATTTGCTTTGAAGGCTAAGGCACAGGATCCTTTGTCACCGTCAAGAGGGTCGCGAAGTTTTTGTTTGATATTTTACTTTGTGCACACCCCAAAAACAAAAATTGCAGGAGAAACGAAGAAAAGGTTTTCGAGGTAAGCAAAGCCGGTTTTGTATGTTTTTGTTTAATTCAAATGACCAACAAGGCCCTGTCAGCTAGGTAGTGTGAAATGACATTTTCTTTTCTTTCCTTTTTTATAAAGAAAATCTCTCTCTTTCTCTCTCTTTTGTGCCAGAAGCCATCATGTTAGCAGAGAAAAAAGAATCACGCTTTTAATTGTAATCACATTTTTCTATAGTTCGTTCTGTTGCCAGGGTCCCCATTGTCTTGAAACTTCACTCTGTTAAAAAACCGAAGACTGAAGTGAACAATAGCGTTCAGTTATTTGAGACTGTTAATCTCTCTTTAAAAATGATTTTCCTTCTTCAGGGACACCCTTAGGGCGAAGCGGCGAAAGAAACAGGTAACTATAAAACTAATACATAAATATAACTCCAAAGCTCAGGTTATGAAACTTATGTCAGTATTACATTGTACTCTTCTGTCTCATAATGAATCAGATATCTTTTTATACCATTACTCAGTTCACCCTAAGATCACTCATCGCAATATATCGGTATACCGTCGGTACCGTTCAATGTATTTTCAGTTAACGGCATACGAAAAAATCTTATGAACTGATTGAATAAGTTAGGTCGGGCCGGATGGGAAAAACCGTGCGCCCATGATGACCGAGGGCCCTTAGTATGATTTTAAACTTTCCAGAAACGTGCTTCTAATAATGTGAAAGATCATTGCACGAAAAATTTGATTTGCACCAATTTTACTTCGTGCAAATATGGTGCAAAAAGGTGCAAACTAAGGTTAAATCAAGGGCAAAAATGGTGCATACCGCATTTGCTAACGAATTTATAACCCCATGTAGACTGGTATGCAAATCAGTGCTGTATTTACCGTCTTTGCCTTCGATTTCCTCCTCGTTTTCACTTTTTTTGCACCATATTTGCCCCGAGAAAATTTGTGTAAATCTAATTTTTCGTGCAGTATATAATAGTGAAGTTAGCGCGCTACAGGTTTGAAACTGACTCAATTAAAAACTGATCAGTCCATTGCAAATGAGCCATTAAAAGGTAAAATTAAATGCTTTTGTGAAGTTTGTGAGTGTTGTAATGATACGAATTGAAAACGAAAAGTAGTGTCATTTCTTTCGCAGTAGCGTGAAAGCTACATGCAGGGTTAATTTTTGGAGGGTACTGATCGAGATTTATCGAGTGAACAAAACGTGTCTGGGTCAAAATCATTACGATTCGCAAAGAAAAATTAAACCTTTTAAACGATATTAAAGTAAAAAAGCTTCGGAAACGGGAATCCGTGATTGATACAAGTGTAAAGCAACAGATCATGATCGGACATTCTCTCTTGTGTAAAGTTAATGAATTAAAAAAGACAAAAATAAAAGAATGAAACTCCGTAACTGGTATAGTTACTGAAAAATTGTGCATTTTGTGATAATCTAATCAAAATTAAGTGAAACGATTTATTCAAGAACTCGTTAAGTGCGATATAACACATTATTTGTCCTCAGGTAAGCCAGCAGATACTGCTTAAGGAGAGTACAGGGGTATAAAGCCATGGAAAAAATTGATCATGTAAAGTGTTGAACATGACGAAAATAATTGTTGACTGAGGTCCGAGAAAAGTTATGAATATATATATATTTTTTTTTTGAGCAAGAAAAATCTCCCTGTGCTTGCTTAATTTTTTTCCTCCAGTGTCAAAATGATCATTCTAAGACGTTTTCTACTTCGGTTCCTCTGCCGTCAACCAGTTATTCCGCTCTTTCTCTTGGTGGCTGGAGTTCTCTATATGAGCAGTACATGGTCATATTCTGGTTGTCTCTTCAGGGAAAACATCAGCCGACAGCCAATGAAGGTGAATGTTATATATATATCAACCGACTAATTACTAACTACTAAGGGGAACAGATCGCATCAAGGGAAGCTAGAGTAGAGGAGGCTTAGAAGCTGTGTTCCTCTTAGGGGTAGACTAGGGGCCCTTTGCATGTCGCCTAACTTCTGGGAACGCATTACGTCAGTGTTTTATAGCTTACTATGACGTCACTAAACAAGAAAAGAAAAAATATCCCGTAAACGCGTCCGCTTGTCCAAGTTTAAAGGCCTATTTACCTGTAACCAGAAAAATAGACCCGGTTATTAGCCCTCCGAGTGTAATTTAAAAAGCCCCCCTCCGTTCATAAGCCCTGTTGAAACCCCTTGTAAAGAGCGAAACAGTCCTTTCCTTTCCAAAGGTGCTTACTTTGAAAAAAGTCCTAAACCGACGTTATTAACACGTTTTCAACAATTTTTTTTAGATTTCACTGAAAGAATTTTTTGTTATTGTTGTTGTTTTTTTGGTTTTTCTGTTTCTTTTGGACAGGAGACAGGGGAAGTTAAAGCTATGGATAAAATGGATAAACTCGAAGAGTCTGTTCTGGTCAATACAACTCAAAAACGGAGCCGGTAAATAGGAAGGAAGGGAGGAAGGAAATTGCGACGAAGACTTCTGCTAGGATTGTTAATAGGGACGCGTCGGTCAGCTATTGGCCATTCTTTTATTTTTTTTCTGCCCCCAGTAACCGTCCTAGCCTGTGTTACAAACAGCCTAAATCCCTGATATGACAGAATGCATCGAGTTCTCTATCTGGGTCTCGAGTAACAAGTCCGAATGCAACGTAGGCTAAAACAGTCCCATAAGTCTCTGCAAAAGTTACCTAGGCCCAGTGTCCTTCTCTTTTCCAAAGTGACCAATGGAGAAAAGGGGAGAGGAGATTGGGGAGATATGAAAAGAGACCCTCCGTTACCACCCCTCCCCCTCCCCCAACCCCTCCCCCTCCCCTCCTCTTCTTACGCCTGTCACACAGGCTAACAGACGTTATTGCCCTGGCCAATCTGATTTCGCACGCCCAATGAATAAACTAATCAGATCTCGAACCAAAATCATTTTTGTAGCTGACGATAAGCCCGGGAAAACACACGCAAGCAACATGATAAGCACAATTGGTTTTTCTCTCTGATTGGTTGAGAAAGTGGCTAGTGATGTTTAAGAACATATAACAAGGCAAATCATAAACAGTCAAAAACCACTCATTTGCAACCTTTGTTACTCCCGCTAGTACCACAGCAACAGCCGCGTAAATTACCGCTTATAGGCTCTCCCTCCCACTTACAAGCCCCAGTCTAGCTTGTATTAAAATTAATTTGATTTATTAGACGTTTTGAAGCCACCAAAGGCAAAACGTATGTTCATGAGCACTGCTATAGCCTGTTTTGAGGCGCTTTTGGTCGTTAGTTCGCTGTTATAAGCCCCATCGGATATGAGCCACTCTGTTTGTAAGTCGCCCTATCGAAACCCCTTGCGAAGATGTTGAAGGCCAGGGATTTTAAGGGGCAGTTTGAGCTATTACAGTAATTTTTTTTTCACCATAGGGGATTAAGGTCGGAGAACAAGAAAAGGAGCACGTTTATGCAGTATTGCAAGAAAGAGAGGGAGACATCGAATACATTCAGGTAAATAGCCTGGGTGGCTGACGGAATTAGTATGGGAGTGCTGATATTTTTTTGTGTGTTTTCCCTTTCAAATTTGCAAAAAAATATTTACTGATTCTCGGCAAAAGGTTTCATATTTTTTAAGGTTTTGACCCCATGGCATACGCTTTACCGATGTAGTACTCTACTGTCTGAGTTTCAGACATTTCACCCTGTGTACACAAATTCAGGGATCTCTTATGATTTTTTAAGCGTTTCCTTTTTAATATCCTATTTCCCGCTAGGAACACGACATGGATCTCCCCGGTGGGGACTTGCCGTGTGGAGTTAATGAGAGCTGTCACAAGTTCATTGTGCGTAGTTCAGATCAGGCGAAATTGATCTGTAACTCGTACGGTTCTCGCTGCAAAGGATTTGTTTATTCAAAGGAATCAGGAACATTTATCCCGAAAGGAGAGTTGCAAAATAAAATGGTATTTACAACTGGTATGGAACTATTTGTTAAGAAAACGTTCGCAGAAAACGCCGTGACAAATGAAACTTGCGCGGTACCACTTGACCAGTTCCAGTCCCTTGCCGACGGCTGCCATCTACCAGAACTGGACCCAAATGATGAAAGTATCACTAAACTTATTAAGAAACCTGGGACACCACTTCAGTGTCCAGGTTTCCAGCTGACACGTTATCGGAGCGGAGTCTTGGAAGTGATTGACCACGGAGGTAAAGGTACGGTTAATGTTTGTTTTTCTTCAACTCCTACTGCTAAATTACACTCGTAGTAGAATGAGCCTTAAACAAAAATATTTTTACCTTGGGAAGCACGTACAAATGAACTCCAAGAGGTCACTAGATGCCAGCGCGGTTCGATGAACAGTATGGAGTTTTCGTCTTTTCGGTTCAAATGGAAAAAAAAGGAAGCCGCCTCAAGTTGCTCATTTTGATCGGAGTGAACTATACCACTTGCCCCTGGGCAAGAAAATTGACCCATGATTTTCAAAGTATGTTTCTCTCTCTTTTCACAGATACAAACATCTCGTCTTTGTTGTATCAGTCAATTTTTCGGCCACAACACAAAGACTGGGGAGTTATTTTGGGGGATGAAGTTAGCCTACAAGCAAAAGATGGTCAATTCAGACTTGATTCAGAATTCATCCGCGTTAAGCTCACCACCGCTCAAGGTACAAAACACGTAGAATACCATGCGCAAGTCGTACCTAAGCCCCTGCCTGTGAATCACAGAAAAGAAAACGGACTTCCTCTTAGCGTTGTTATCATAGGCCTTGATTCTTTGTCAGCGGCGCACTTCCAGAGAGCTCTTCCTGAGGCTTCAAAGTTTATGAAAGAAGAGATGAACTCGGTGTTCCTAAAGGGTTATTCGGTTGTTGGAGATGGCACCACTCCTGCATTGGCAGCTCTTATGACAGGTAAGCAGAGGAGTGAGGGGAGAGCTGGTACAGAACAAGACACAAACTTTTGTTAACTCTCGCCACCCTTTTGTTGCCCACGTGCTTTATTATATACTTATGCTCTTTCAAAATCGGAACTGGATTGTATTTGGCCTGAAGGAGCTCTTGTTCATTACTCCCAATGCAAATAACGGTGGCACTTAGGGTGGATTCATTTGCAACAAACGCGTATAGCTGTCGCATTTACCCGCTGGAATTTTTTATTGTTTTTAGGCTTAAAAACAAAAATAATTCCAGCGGGCCATGCAACAGCTATACGCGTATGTTGCAAAAAAATACACCCTTAATTTTACGAATATCGACTCTTTTCGTGCTTGCATTCAATCTTTTGTTTCTTGTCGTTTTTACCCACGGCGTTTAGCGTAGCAACCGGCAAGTGCTGGTCGCGTAAAGAAGTGCAGTTTAGAATATATTCTACAGGACAGAAATGGCCTGGAGTTACCTTAAAACATGATAGTTTATTATGATGAAAAAAAAGATATGTAATTTTTTTTTCGAAAAAAGAGAGTAGTATGGAAGAGACCGACTAATCCCTTTTTCAGAGCGGATATCTCATTTAAGAGGGCAGAAACATTTGAAATTTATGACGTCACGAATTTGTGGCTAGTATAACTTGTTTGGCAGATTCGAAGTTGTTTTATAGATAAACGATGTCATAGGTTTTGATCGGTTGACTAAAATTTAGAAATGCGTTCATTGATTGATTAATTTTGACGAAGGAATAATTGTTAACTCACATGGCAGCTAAAAACGCAGGTTTTATTGCCTGTCCAATTGCTCATTGTTTTACGGCGCGCAAATTGACAGGTTTAGGACCCAACCTTGCGTTTCAATACTAAAACCAGAGAACAGCGTCAGAACACTACACATTCAATCTGACAATTAAGGATATTTTTTGTATGTAAAGGATTGTGTGCTGCATTGCTACCGCCCGCCAGAGGATACATCGCACATACTCAGACACCGTTTACACGAACGGTTCCGAAAAATTTTTAAACACACGAATTTTTTACCGCTTTGAAATCCATTTATATGAAACCGTGTAAATTTTGTAGCAGTATTGTTTACATGAGCCTGTGCTAATTTTTGACAGTCTTAACATTGGAATGGCTTTTTTGTCAAAAGCACGTGACTATGCTCCAGGCTTTTACCGCAAAAACTGTGAAAAACCTTCCACGGTTGAGGTGTTTACACGAGTTCGCGCAAAGGTTGAACCACACCGGTCAAATATTTTGACCTACCTCTGATCAGGTTAAAAAAAATTGCCACTTAATCGTTTTTTAAAATGCACGGTTCCGCGGGTCCCGTGTAAACGAAAGGCGGACCCGTGCAAGTTTTGTGAGATCAAAAATTTGTCCAGACGCTTGTTAACGGGGTCCAAATGTCTAACCTACTCTTTCACTCTTCTTTTAGGTAAATTTGAATCCGAGCTTCCTGAAGCGCGCAAAGGATTTGCGGGCTCACAACCGCTAGACCGCTGGTCACATATATTCAAGGACTTCAAGGCACAAGGTTACGCCACTCTGTTCAGTGAAGACGCCCCAGTTTACGCTGCATTCAACTACCGTTTACATGGCTTCAAAAACCCTCCAACGGATCATTTCTCTCGATATTTCTGGGAAGCAGCGCATATGACCTCACCACAATGTGTCCACAGCAAGCCACAACATCAAATCCATTTTGATTACATCACGTCATTTCTGGAAGCTTATCGAAATCAACCCAAATTTGGATTGTTTTTCATGTCAGAAATCTCTCATAACAATTTAGAAAATGTTTATTTCTGCGCGAATAATTTTGTAGCTCTTCTAAGACATTTATATGGAGGAAATCTTTTGAACGATTCTTTGTTGATAGTTATGTCAGATCACGGTGCTCGGGTTGGTGACGCAAGAGTGACTTTGCAAGGAAAGCTAGAAGAACGTCTTCCACTGATGTCTTTTACATTCCCAGAATGGTTTTCGCAACAGTACCCCAGCTTAATCGAAAATTTTAAAGAAAATAGTAACATTGTGACGTCACCCTTTGATCTATATGCCACCTTTAAACACATACTAAGTTACCCCCAGATTCCCGCTAACTTGACGAGAGGTAAAAGCCTTTTCAGTAAAATTAATAAATCTCGTGATTGCGAAGATGCTGGTATAGCCGAACATTACTGCCCGTGCATACAATGGAAAAGTATCGACACACGTACAGATCACGCGCGCAGTGCTGCTCAAGCAGCTGTTGATCACGTGAACAACCTAACTGCATCGGACGCTCAAGGTTTACACCTTTGTTCGCGTTTACAACTTAAAGAAATCTGGGCAGCTCATCAAACAATTCCCAATGTAAAGGTGGCTCAATACTTAGGATCGTCTGATGTTCATGGTAGACAACCTATGTTTTCAAGAGGCACTGCGACGCTTGGGCAATGTTTATATCAAATACAGTTTCAGACTGTACCTGGGAATGGTATATTCGAGGCCTCAGTGAGTCTCCAAAGTGGTATTTTTCGGGTTACAAGTGAAATGAGCAGGATAAATCTTTACGGTGACCAATCAAAGTGTATAGTGGACAAAAGTCCTCATTTACGAAAGTACTGTCTCTGTAAAGATTATAAAGAAGAATAAGCACAAACAATGACGACAACAACAACGAAAAAGGGGTCATTTCAGACAGCATAAGCTTAAGTTCCAACAACATTAACTTATTAAACTTTAGTAGGAAAATGGCTTTTACTTGCATGAGAATTAAAGAAATATTTTTTTAACACAAACTTTACACTTGCTCTTGTTTTGCAAGAGACGCTAGGAAATGATCTATTTCATAAAGGAACTAGTTTAACTCCACCTATGAATTATTGTCACAAAAACAATTAGACTTCGTAGTGGCTCAGTTTTGTTATATCACGTGCACGAAGGAGTATTCTTGCTCGCAGGGTGTCAAGTTTAGCCACCGCAAAACGGTTCGCTGAATAACTTATACCTGCAGACATTTCTCCCGACCCGGTTGACTATCCCTGATTCTTTATGACCACTGAGCGATCCATCAAGCCATCGATAAAGCACCGCCTCCCTGCTTTGATTTTGGCGGGAAACTGTATTCAAAATCCTTCAAAAGAGACAAGTCAACAATCCTCGCCTGGGTCGCTTCGCGACCCCACTAAAGCTCCCATCGCTCGCTTACGGGTTACTGACAAACTTTTAAACGGTATTAACGATTGAAGAGACCAATTTGGTGCAATTCTAAAGATCAGTGTGCATGAAGCAAGAAACTTAAAGCGACGTAGACTTCAGGTCCCGGTTGTTCAAACCGTGGATAGTGCTATCCACCGGATAAATCAGTATCCTGTCGATAAGTATTAGGGAGACCAATTGCGTTATCCACTGAATAGAGATTTATCCAGAGGATAACGTTATCCACCGTTTGAACAACTGAGGCCAGAACAAGTTTTTTATCCTTTTAGTCTTACTTGTTTATGAAGGGAGGAGACGGTGGGGCTTTCTACTCTCCCCAGTTATTTGCGGTACCGAGCACTTGACTGACGCTTTTCATTATCCTTGTCACTGTGCGCTCTGATTCTTTTAAGCTCACCTTCCAGAAATGTTTGGTTTAACGGGGGCAGCGCTTGCTTACTCTCCTTCCTCGGAGACTTAGTTCGTTTAAGTTTTACATTCTCAGCGCGCTCTTCACTTACTGCTCGCTTCCGTGGACTATAACGAGCATCGCGGCTTCTGTATCTTCTACTTTCATTGCCCCGATCTTCGACTGGTTGCTTTTCTCTCTCTTTTTCGAAACTCCTGTGGCTTTTTGAAGATGATGAAAGCCTACACTTTGTTGTTTTATCGCTATTATCTTTCCACGTACTGTGACCCTTATACCTATCGTATTCTGGTGACGAGTCAGTTCTGCCTCTACTGCTATGTGGTACAGTGTCTTCCCCAACACGCTTATCGCTATGTAAAGTACCAGGATGATCAAGCTCTGCTCGAAAATTCACAATATCGTTTCTTTCATAAGGTTTCTCTGTCTCCACGTAGTCTCTACTTGTTTTTCTTTTACTGCTTTCTGCACCACTTTTTTCGACCCATTCCTCGCTACTTTCACAAGAATCAGTTCTCGAGGATTCGCTTTCACTTGAAGAATCAGTTGAACTAGAAGATGAAGTAGAACTGGTACGTTTGGAGCCACGACGAACCTTTGCTTTAGATTTCGTTTTCTTTTTCTTGAGAACTTTAATCTTCTTCTTCTTCTTTCTCTTTCTACTAGTTGAACAAAACAAAGAAGTTGTAATTGATGTAACTCGCAATTTGCACGTAAACCGTGGATATAACAAAAGGCTGGAGAATTAACGAACAAATAGGGACAAACATTCATCTCAAACAAATCGAAAAACACCAATTAAGGCCATTTCCGAGTTACAAAAACTCTCACTTCCAAAACGAGGCTAAGAGAAAAGGAGGCTTGAAGCAACTCGGAACGTTCACCGAGCTGACAGGTTTCTAAATGAAAAGGAATCACGTTAAAGTGGGCTCGAGAAATTCGCCCCATTTCTCGACCAATCATAATTTGGATTCGGACCAAGCGTGACTTACTGTCGCACGCTTTCCAGAACTTGTCTTCATCTCTGATTGGCGCATGACGTTCTATGCAACTTACATAATTGGCGAAATCACAAACCGTTCTACTTAAAAAACGTCTCCATACCTGTCATATTTCTTTCTTTTTTTCTTTGACTGAAATTGCTCCTCCAAAATAAGTTCCCTCACGTGACTAAACCTGCTCTTGAGCCCTTTGTCTACTCTTGCAGCGGCCTGCTCTTTCTCCTGACGTCACAGGTAAGGTCAAATGAAGAAAACAACGAATTGGGGGAGACGGGAGGGGTGGTGCAATATGGTTGTAATTTGTTATCACGAGCCAACGTAGCGGGAAATCATGTAATAGAAGGGAAAACATTGTAGAGTGGGAATGAACGTGAAAAATGAAAGATCATTTGAGACAAAATGGTGCGATTTATGAACAAGACATTCCAAATGAAAGTAATTCGGTTAAGTGTTTAAATTGAGTTGCGACAAAGTAACAAAAATAAAGTAAAATTTGATCCAAATTGTATCAAACCAGACAACAGAGGGACAGGGAACAGGGTAATGGATATGAAACAGTTAAAGTGACAGTAAGTGTTTGTGATACCGTTCAGATGAAAAAAGCACAACATATCAATATAAATGAAGAACATGACAACAACAAGTGAACGGTCGCAATTTTTATTTCAAAAGCCAAAACAAACAAGATACATAAAGTCATTTCAAGTAGAAATGAGAGTTACCGCAAAAATCCCCGCACAGCATGTAGATTTCGTTGTGTGTAAGATCACAGAAGAAGGCAGTGAAATTGGAAAATGAAATCGTCAGCCAACAACGGAACGATGGGGGGCAAGACATGTAGAGAGAAAACAGGAAACCAATCGCATTAGAAAGAAATATCATTAGTTTATAAACGTCCGGTAATTAAACTGTTAATTGCTTTCAACTGACTTTATGTCTCAATTGAGCTGAGCCTGGAGAACTCTCAGTGTACGCGCCTACAAAATGAACGCTTGGAACAGGATGATTTCGCGCAGGCGCTACGAAATCTGATGGACACTCGTTTTCCGAGTAACTAACCTGTGCGCATGTGCTCACAGGGTACCAACCCTGTACTAAATGCTAGGGGGAAGAAGGGACTAGAAGGGGGTGGGAGCATGGATTGGTTTGTAGTAATCAAGTAAGCAAGCACGTATTACGCACCTGTTCCTTAACTTTGATTTGCAGCTCGATTTTCTCAAGATGATCTCTCGCCGTTTGTTGATTGTTATCAATTTCCAATGCCTCCTTAAAGCTCTGTATAGCTTCTGACAGTATCCCTTCTTTTTCTCGTCTAGGAACAAAAGCACCACAAAAACTCTGTAAAAACCTGCAATACATATGCAAGATTCGTTTCATAATAAATTACAACAATTTTTTGAGGATTTGCGGGACGAGCCAATAGAACGTCTTCGAGCGGGGCCTACCAATGGTGATCTTGTAGGATCGACATAATTATGTCCTTTAACAAAGGAAAAACAGTGACGGCAGGCTTGCAGTGACTTACTGTAGTCCCTGTTCCACTAGCGTGGCAGTGAGGTATTTGTTGGCGTTTCTGTGACTTGGACAGATCGCCAATGCCGCCCGGAAATCTTTGATAGCGGGAGCGAGCTTGTCGTCATTGGCATATCTAGATATGAAAAAGCAATTTGAGTTAGATCCCTGGAAGAGTCAAAATAGTCCTGAGAACATTTTTTTAACAAAATTATGAAAAACTGAAGAAGTTTCAATTCGTAAACAACTCACAGGGCTCCTCGAGCTACCAGTGCCTCCACATTTTCACCATCAATCTGTAGCGCATGCTCAAAATATTTCATAGCAGCCTCGTGATTTCCCGTTTTAAAATGCTCCACACCTTTGGCTGTCCTAAAAAACAACAGATAAACAGTGGTCTGTAGGTAACCTGTACCAAGTTCATTACAAATGGTGATGAATGAAGGAAAAAGTATGCCCGTGAAAGAAAAAAGTGCCAGTATTTAATCTGCCTGTCACCAGACTAACATCATTTCCTATAGTAAGGAAGGGGACTAAGTACGTGTGGTAGTTTCCGTATGGCTCAAGGAAACCTTGGTCAGTCAACCAATAATGTTTTATAATTGAATATGAAAAGAACAGGTGTCAGTTATTCCACCGGATAAATCATTGTCCCATCCCTAAGTACTACAGAAACAAATTGCGTTATCCAATGGATGGTAGACTACAAGTAGCCCCCATTTTTCCTCAGGGATAGTCGAGCGAAACGCTCTAATGGATGGTGATTTATCCAGTGGATAGCGTTATCCACAAATTCAACAACTAGGATCAGAAGCATAGCTTTTTTCCCAATTTCATTTCTTTTCTCCCAAATAAAAGGTTATGCACTTGGAACCTGCGTTAGTGGTAACTACCATGCAGATAAATGTTCTTATGTTGCATGCAGCTTACATGTAATTAAAAATCATTCTACAACTTGATATAATTTATCGCCATTAAAAAAAGGCATCGACAATACAATCACTCAACCAATAGAAATCCTTACGTTTCCATTGACCATTTGGCAGACTGCCGCCTTCTCAGAGGCTCTGCATAGTCACCCTCTGGGCAGTCCTTCCTGTCAAGGAAATACACACGAACTACATATTATATGTAACAACAACAAAAAATAACTTTGAATGATCCAATCTTCTCAGGTCTTGTATAAGCTTAATTCCACAACTGAAAACGCTTTTTAAGGTTAAGACTATCCAATTGACATTAGACAAGGTTTTAAATATTTATCGGAAGACTGAGAATGGAATTCTACAATTAATATAACAAAACAAATTGAAGTCAGCAAAGTAAGGTAATTCTCACGTTTGGTACTGGACTTGTTTAAAATAATCTCAACTGTTCACAGTCCCCTATTTTTCGGTAGGATTGTCAGGATCCACCACCAACCCTTACAGGCGGCCATCTTGGTTTCAAAACTACCGAGTGTAGCCTGGGGACGAGTGTCAAATATACTCAGGGAATGAGGGATGGTTTGGAAGGAGCAAGAAAAATCTACCCCCCACCGCTATAAACCCCAGGGTCCATGCCTTCAGTAATGGTAAGCGCACTCAATCTCAATGATCTTATGGAAACATTTGGGACTATATTGCATAAATGTACCTTTGGAAGCATCTCAATAAAGAACATGGAGCTGTGGTATCAATACCAAGGAGATCTGTAAGTGTATCTATATTCCTTGGGTTGTTAAAACCCTTATGTTTGTTCAAGTGTTCTTCATAATTCAGTCCATCTGGATTATCCTGTAACCTGCAAAATACAAAACAGTTCAAAGAAAGTTACCTTAAATCTCTCCTGAAAAATCCACAACAACAAGGTTCAGATGTAACAACTTATCAAAATGTCACAAAACACATTCCTTTTCTCAAAAAGCTAACACGAGTCTCCAGCAGCCCAGTGGTAAAGCATCTGAACCAGGTCATAGGTTTGAATACTAACAGGAGTATTCGCATTTTTTTTTCAAAGCTGCCTGCGTCATTGACTGTATAAACATCTTTTACATGCAATCACCAGGCTTTAAATTCACCAACACATTTCTATTAGGACAAGACATGTTGCAAACTGTGTGAATGATAAGGTTTTGTCAGGCCACCTACACTGTAAAATTAGGCTTTTGTGCACCTCTTCCTTGATAAGTGTAGGGGACTGTTTACAAATAAAATATAATGGCATACATGTACAGTATACCTGGTGAAAACTGCATCAGAGTCATCCACAACACCCTGCAAACAAGGTTAAAGAAAAGGAACAACTAAGCAAAATTAAAACAGTCATACTTATCTAGTGTTGGTAGAACAAAAGAAATAAAAAGAAAATCATGACAGATATTGCATGCAGTTGTACAAAGTTTTTAAAATTCTCCATCAGAAGGTTAAAGGGTGAACCAATGGGATAAACATGAACAAATAAGTAACTGGGATGCTAGAAAGTGCTTCATGAACATCTGCACGCAGTCTTTTATTGAAATGCACTCACCAAACTCATATGTTTATGTACATCAGGTAATCTTGAATTTCTCAAAGAGATTGACACTTTTTCCTCCTCACCATTAACATTTGTAATTACTCCTACATGAAAAGAAAATGTAAGCCATCAAAAACTTGGTGTCAGACAAATTTATTTAAAAAAGTCCAAATTTTTGCCAAAATGTGGGACGCATATGTTAAGTACCTCGAATAATATCACCAATCACATAAGCATCAGTTGGGTCTTTGTACTCCTTGGTCAGTTCTGAGCTGTCTAACTCTGATAACTTGCACAATGCCTGGGTAAAAGCAATACAACAAGCAGCTAAGAATAGCCTCGACGGTGAGTGATAGAAACGCATTTTTCTGAGAAATGTAGATGGGGGCTTTTACAGTGTGCAGATATGAAATTTCTCTTCAAGTGTTGAAATTTTGTATCTCCAAGCGGCAATTGTGTACATTAGATACAATGAAAACACCAATGAAGTGCCAAACAATTTCCCTTTAACCCTTTAAGTCCCAATATCCACATACAAATTCTCCAAACTGGTCTCCATACATTTCCTTAAGGAATGAGTTGAGAGAATTTAATAAAAGATCAAGGCATTCTCTTTGGTGATCATTTTATTACTTCTCATAACCTAATCTCTTCCCATTGTATGGATATCATTAAGGAGAAAACTGATGTTGATTTGTATTGGGACTTAAAGGGTTAATAGGCTTTGGCTAAAATAGGTGCAATTCATTATGTAACCACGGTGACTGAGATCTTTTCACACATGTGAAGATAACATGTTGTTTTCAGGTGTGAGTTAATATTGTCATGCAAAAGCTCACCGGAAATTTCGTAGGTTTTTATAAAATCAAGGGCTTGTTCCCAAATCAGATGCTTTGGTAGTAGCATTTAATTCAATGAGAATTTACACAAATCCAAACCATAGAACACTTCAGAGTAAACTGGTTCTCTGCAGTGTGCAAGCATCCAAGATTGTTTGGAACATCCCTGCAATATTGGATTCTTCACAATCCTTTTTCAAACTTGCTAACAGATTATCTTCCACAATGTAATATTGGTTACCTTCTTAATAATATACCTGAATATCAAGATCACTGAAGTCTCTATTGCACCCAGATTCCAACATAGTCAGTGTTACTATAATACCAAAGGGTCTCTTGTAAGTTACTTTGCCCATGACGATGTCTCCTTCCTTTAAGCACTGCAGAGAGAGTCAAAAAGTATAGTCAATCCATATACAAAATACAGAAAGTTGAGCCCCGTAGATCTGCATTTCTTGACACAGAAAACAGCAGGAATTGTATGTAATTGCCTAAATAAATATCAGTACATTATGCAGGTTTGGAGCTAACCTTGAACAACTGTGTTCTTCTGACATGCAAAGGTATTTCCATTAAGGTTTCAAGAGGAGGAGTATCCGCATAAGGATCTAACACTGAAATATATCACAGTTCTTTCATTTAATAAAATCATTCTCTTATAGTCAACATCACATGTTGTAGTCAATAATAACAGAAGTACTTTCACCTCCATCACTAAATACATACCTGTACCTGGTTACAAGCCCATCCCAAACACTATTGCATTTCTGACACTAATTAATTTTTTTCCCATTTCTTTTGTCATAACACTTTTACTGATAAGGAGGCTTCCCACTAATTTATCTACTTAATATTTACATCCTTAAGCAACTTAACTGTTGAATCTAAAACAAACCTTTTTTTATTGTCTTACTCTCTTTGAAAATTAACCACGTTAGGTCACTTTTTACCACTAAATCTAGCCTCAGGGTTTGCAAATTATTTTTATTGATGAGTGGAGTCGGTGTGACTTCTGCTTCACAAATTTTGGAGTCATTTTGTAATATTTGGAGTCAGGTATCACAACGAAAAAAGCCATTTTCAGACTTTCCGGCACGTGGTCCTGGCATGTATAAACTATCGTGAGGGATACACAAACTAGCTGTGATGGTCCGCTGACCTGGAAAGCTCAAATCCATGATGGCGGTCATTGAGTAAACTTTGATCGTAATTTACCCTCTTCCTGTTTTGTCGTGCAGTATAATTCTTTAATTTCGATGATTTAATTAAGGTTTACAACGTTTACAATTAACGTAAATTGTATTTGTTGCGAAAAAGGTAAGGACAAAACTGTGTTTGTTACCGAAAATTTCTGGAGTCGAAGTGGCTCCCTGTTTGTTACCGAAAATTTGTGAAGTCAAAGTGACTCCCTCCGTAACCTCAGTGGAGTCATCTGAACAATTTTGGCGTAAATTACGCCAAATTTGGCGTATTTGCGAACCCTGTAGCCTTAATAATTATATGTCACAGGTCACCATTAAATTCAGGTTAAACTTTTAACCTAGGTTGATTCTCAATTTTCTTTGTCTCCTCGCCATAATTCATGAATGATTAGGGCTAGAAGACAAAGAATCGAGAATCAACCTGGGTTAAAATATTATAACTTAAATTAAATTTTGACCTGTAACAAAAAAATTATACATGTTTGTTGGACAAATTATGATCATTTACTTTGTGATGAGTGATACAAAATTAATGTACTATTTCCCTCAAATCTTTTTAAAATTTAAGCAATAATTTCTCTTACAACCATGTTCAGAATATTTTTGACATTCTAAGGAAGGATTTCCTGCATAAACCAAGGAAAGAATACTGATCACCAATTATCTCGATCAAAGAGAAGTGAAAAAGAAGTTAAATGAGTGAAGTCTGATTAGAATCACAACCTTTACTTTTAGTCACAGAGTTATCTGGCATGTTGCTGATTCTCATACATTGTATGTCAGCGACCCGCCTGCGACATAGCTGCCAGTACTGCAAGGGATACCATTCCAATGTGAGAACAGAAGTTGCAGACAACAGAGGCCATCCCACTCTTTGCTATCGCTATACATGTACCTGCGAAGTTGCCTTAAGTTCAACCTTGCAGGCATGCCAGTAGTAAAGACCTACAATGTTTCCATTCCCAGCATTGATGACTAACAGTATCCCAGGCAAGACCGCCATGTATGCGGCAGGTAGAACGGCAGCACATGAGGACCAAGCTCTGTGTGTCCTCAGTATTAATGTACACTTACCTTCCTGGTTTGAATGCAAGCCAAAATCAACTCCTCTTTGTAATTTCTGCTTCCCTTCCATGGAAAACAACAGGTCTGCTTTAGTTGCAACAAATCTTTTTATTCTTTGGCTGAAATCATCATCTTGCACACCTGACCTAAGTATATAAATAGGGAGGTTATTAAGCAAAAAATAGATACAAATGCATAGCGGAAAATCTCAGACAGAACATATTTTGCTTTGATTACTGATAAACGAACATCGGATCTCAATCTCTATAAAAAACCTTTTTTTATTAAAATAATTGACCTAGCTGTATCTACAGTATGTACTGTACATACATGTACTCTGCAATGGTGCCCCTACAAGTTGATCAAATTTTTTTGACTCAGCATGTTTGATTGCACAGGACACCCACAAATTCACAAAATAACCAACAGATTAGGAAGCATTCTCCATTGCCAAATACAACTATAATACCTACAATGTAGAACCTTGACAATCCATCAGATTTTAAAAAATTACTCTAGCTACAGGTGCAAAAAAAAAATTGTGCATCTCTGTTCCTCTATACAGTCAATCTATACAACACCAAACTACTTACTGTGTTGGTTGTTGTCTATAAAATGGATGAAGAATTTCTCTGTCTTCATTAGATGATTGATGCATTTCACTTAGTGCTCCTAAATATTCATTTGTTCCACCTGCTGGGCAGCTCACCTGCAAACATTAATATTACATATGTAAACAGTCATTTTTCACATAAAAAGAGAAAGAGGAGGATAAGGTAGCCTGCGAGCGCAGAACTTTTTGGGTGGAGAGAAGCGATGACCGGAAATACATCTGCAGGCTAAGGACAAGGAGGAGGGTAAGGCAGCAAGACAAAAACTCAAAAGCTGGAAGTACCAGGTTGACAAATACTCTGATCCCTCGTTGAAGTTGTTGTTGTTGTTCTTCTTCCTCTGTGATTATGACTTTTTTACTCATTATGCTCCATCAGGCGTCAATTATTGTTTTTCCCAAAAAGAGAGGTTATTTGTGAATAGAATATGGATGTAGATGTAGAAGGCACGCATGTCCACCATTAATAATTCTTTGTTCACACAATCCATGAATTCGTGTGCTTTAAGCGCTTCTTACTAGGTTCCTATACCAAGACTGGTTCTAAGAAAAATTGGAGGGAGCTCTGTGCTCTAAACCAATGAAATCCAGGGTGCCTAGCATAAAATTTTCATAACAAAATCTGTTACTTCTAGTGGCTCAATAGCATATGTACAGCACGGGGGACAACCTGAATGCTGCTACAGTACAGCCCTGCTATACACTTGTAAAAGAGCAATGTTTACCTGAAGCTTATTTCTGAAGTAATTCATGCCCATGTTGCCATCTCTTCTAGGATTAAGAAAGTTAAGTAATGACTCTTCTTCATCACCATGCTCATCTCTTGTCAAAGGTATCAAGGAGGGTCCATGACTCACTACAGACTGTACAAAACGATCAATAAAGTTCTTTTTCTTCCAGTCTGCAACACAAAATGAAGTAAAAATTATTGTTCACACTTGTTACAGTACATGTTGTAGAATCACTAACTGTCATACTGAGCACACATTAATGTTAGGGTTAAGGGTACACTCCAAGCGTCTTGGAATAAATGCAAAGAGGTCAAAATTTATCTCCCATGGATAAGGTGACAAACATTTGGAAATCATGAGATATTTCCAGCAGTTAAGGCACATTATGAAGTAAGAATTTTGTGATTTCTGCTGAATTCTTTGGGCATAAAACTGAACTCTATGATGTTAGTTTATTGTATTTGAATTGAAATCTTTGTTTAGCTAAGTAAGACTAAAGTGAAACGAGATTTCTCATAGGTCCAAAATAAAGCTTATTTCAGATTATCAGATGCATTCGACATGGAATTTCTGAACAGACTAGTCTGTGTTTGACGAAAGTGTAATAAAAAAACTGTTGCAGCATTCTAGGATAGTGAAATCAGTAAAGTCAAGTTAAGAAATAAACTTTAATTGGCCAAAAAGGCTGCGCTCTACTTACCCATATTTTTCTGCAGCTTTCTGTGATCTCATCTTTTCTGATTTCACCGTGTAGCGAGCCTGCATGCAATAAGCTGGCCAGTTCAGAAAATACGTCATATATGTTCATCCAAAGAGTCTTTCAGAGCAATGGAGTTTTCTTCGATACTTTATCTGGTGCTTTGTAGAGGACCAAAAAATTTCTTTAACTATTTAAACCGATTATTTATTTTCAGAGTATCGTCCTGCCCGACTTCCTTTCCAGGTTTCAGATAATTTTCCCGAGGAACTTTTAAGTTGGGTAAATGTACTGTTTAGCTGACCAGTTCCAGTCCTCACTCGCCTTCGAAAACATCATCAACCAAAATCAGCACATAAACATTGTGGCCATGGATTTGTACGGCGTCTTTGATTGTTTGATGAAGGAGATACGGCTAGATAATACCGCTGTTAATAATGTCTGCTAAGCTGCTGTCGTCGTTGGTCCAGACCAAATCCATCGAGCTGGTTTTGGCGCCAATTGCCTCACAGGTTAGCTGATTAATTCTCGTGCAACTGAGATTTGTGTTCAGATTGCAAAGAACTGATTTTTTTGCACTCCTGACGCTAACGTTTGGTAACCAAACTATAATGAAGTATTCTCTACAACCTTAGCTAAATCTGAATTGAAGGGTCCGTTCTTGCTTTTCAGCAACCGCGTTTTTAGGGCGAGTTTGTATACTAAATGCTCTGCGCGCACATAGTTGTCAGCTGGTTTTCATGTAACTTTAAAGCTCAGCAAACGCTGCTACTTTTCATTTTGCCTTAACTTTTAATATTTAATACCAAAACATCGTTTTGATATGACAAGCAGTATTTAGAGCGGCAACATTTCAAGGAATATATGTTTACATTTTACTCCATTCCGCGCCAGCATCACATCTCATACTGGAAGCAAATTATATCTACAGTACCTCAATTTTTAATGGCATTCCGTAACCTGCCACTTATAAGTACCTCCCAACCCCAGTTATAGGCTCATCTACCAGTAAACAACAAAAAAAATACATCCAATCAGAAGCCCGCTCTGCCTCAAACCCCGCATATTAGACCCGCTCTAAATGTGTACATCGTTTTCACTGTCACGCAACAAAAAAAAAAATTGGAAACCATCCAGTGGAAAAAGCCAAGAAAATGAAATGTTGTAAAAGACTAATAAATAAACAGTCTCAGGTCTTTGTGCCCACAGTTTCTGAATTATTTGCCAAAACGTTTCACGCACCTTTGTAGAGCTTTGTATGGAGACGCCATATTGGTGAACTGTTTTGGTGCACCAATATGGCCGCCGGAAAACATATGGAGTTCACGTTTTCTATAAAATCTCTCTCTATTTACTTGAGAACTAGCATATATACACATAAACATATTTTCTAATACTTGAAATGGTTATACTGCTGAAAATCAAAAGGAGAGACTTTTTTTCAATGAGACAGCATTCCTACTTTGGTGTCACACACTGTGAAAACTCAAAAGTTAAAATTGCTGTATTTTCGAAATGAAACATGCTACAGGAATGGAAACTTGTACACAGCTGTACAAAAATTTACTTTTTGTTTATCTTCAACCTAGGGTAAATAAGAATTCGTAAAACCTCACTATTTTTACTTTACAATTTGATGATATCACTGTGAAAACCATCTATTGAAATGATTTTGATTTTATGATGATGGTTTAAAGCTAAATTAAGATCTAGTAAATGCAAAAGGGTATTTTGATCAGCTCTGCTACAGCTTGCTTCAAATCGCTTTTTCCATTCCAGGTTATAAGCCGCCTCAGATCAATATGAGCCCCTCTGTTTCTAGGCCCTCCTAAAACTCCGAGTGAAGATGTATTAGCCCTGGCCTCAAAAGTGGAAGTTTACTGATCTCAACTGAGTTGAGTAACCTTTGAATGTTTGGTTGATATCTGTAATATATGTTTGTCCTCTTGAAGGTGTCACAATTGATTTTGCTCAATGAGGCAGCACAAAGAGAAGGTGTTTCGTTACCAGACTTGGTACCTAGTGCCCAGCAGATCAGACAGGCCATTGAGAGTCTGGTACTAGCTGGACAGAAGTTGGTCACCGAAACTCCAGATGATGTATGTATAATAATGTATATATGTACAACAACTACAGCAAACAACAACAACAATTTTATTAAACAGCACTGAAATACATTTAAACATACACACTACATGTACCTACAATTAGCTATTAAAGCTATTTGAGGCAGGCAGTGTAGGTACTCTACACACGTGAACTGATTCATTTAAAGACATTTTACATGGAAAATAACTGCATTGTGCTAACAATATAATATAGTGACCTTTTTTCTATTTTTTGAAGGGGTGAAAATATACACAGATCTATACAGTCTTTTTTTTAAGATCATCATCTTATCAGAGCATATATTAAGCAACACCCAGGTGTAATGAATGTGCACTTGGTCTTTAGGGTTTTACTTGTGATGGCTGTAAACTTACATGTAGAATGCTTGCAAGTGAATAGTTAATCCCAGTAATTCAGTCAAGTCTGGGTTCACAGAAAATGTCTCCATAGGACAGTGGCAGATCCAGGGGGAGGGGCCTAGGGGACCCGGGTCCCCCCCCCCCCCACCACCTCATTTTTAGACCAACCAAAAAATTTTTTTGAGACCCCCCTTATCTCAAGGTCTGGATCCGGTCTGTAGGACACTTCTAAATACCAGGTAGCATTATTAAAAAGTATGATTTGTATGAATTTTATATGTGACCTAATTTTTGGGTAATTTACAAAGATTGAGCTGCAGAAATGATATTGTTGTAATAATGGGTGTAATTGACCATAATTCTAGGATTTGAAGTCAGCAATGCCGTTGGCATGCGATGCAGTAAAAGATGCGGGGAACTGCCTACTGATGGCGACTCATCAGCTCAAGCAGTACCCATTCTCAAATAAAGTCAGATACAATTTGGTGGACTCAGCAAGGAACATTCTGGAAGGAACTATGAAGGTATGATATTTACCCTAAACTAATGTTAATAAAACCTCTTATGTAAAAGTTACTGGTCTTCAAAAAGATAGCAGATGAGTTTTTTTATTCAACAGGGCAGTCATATTCAAAAAAGCTTTGGAAATGAGGTAGTTACGTTAACAGGAATTACTACAGTGTAACCCTTAAATTTGCCTTAATGTTTTGTCTTGCATCATATGCTAGGTGTTGCTTGTTTATGATGAAGCTGAGGTTCGTAAGATTGTCACATCAGCACGCTGGGTCATGGACCGACTTCACCTCGTGGAAACTGTTAACTCTCCAAGAGAACTGGTAGTTAGTTTCAAGGTAAACTGAAAATAAGTTTATTTCTCTTGTTATGTTATAAAATATTTATTTGTCATTTAATTTTAAAAGCCTTGATTAGCAAGTTTAGTACAGTGTATCTTGCATCCCAGGGTGAAGAGTGTAGCCCTGTCAGGCCAAAAGAGTTTGCTTCCTTCCCTCCTCACTGGCTGGTAATAATACCTGGTGTCTCATTATATCACCATATACACTTTGTTTATTATACACTCCCTGATTTTCTTTTTAAGAGACTTCAACACTTACAATTTGCTGCAGCTAGTTATGTCACTGGATGTTATGTTAAAAACATAAAGGATGCTTTAATAATAGGTTGGCTACCAGTGAAGGAAAGGAGAGATTTTCATTTACTTAAACTTGTTTTCAAGGTTTTATATTCTGATGCCTGGCCATCTTATCTCAAGATTAATGAGGTTGTCCATACACGGCTATCTGTTACCTTCTAATGCTATGAAATGATTAGTTACTCCACCAGAGAATGGCAGCTTTCAAGATGGTGCTGCAGAGCTTTTTAATAGTCTTTCTGTTCCTATTAGAAATAGCACCAATTTTAATTACTTTTGTTGTGAGAAACACACTCGTTTCTTTGAAATCGTATTCAGTAATTAATCCTGGGTGTGCTTTTGTGAAATAACTTTACTTTTTCCTGAAGTGAAAGGGCAAGATGTATATTTGTGTTAGCCTTATGCTGTAGTTTTTCTTAAACATTATATGTACTTTAGATTTATTTGTTTTATTTATTATTTGTTCTTATTTTATTTTTTCTCATTTTTTGTTTGCTTAATGGTTTAATAGCCACTATATCTTTTTCATCAGCCACTTGCCAATACCCTATTATTTGTACATAACAGTAAATGCTATATACTATACAGCAAAATATTTAATCTTTAGTGATCCTTGTAATTTTTATTTTATAGTAGTTTTTTTAGATAGTAGTTTTAGTATGTTCAGACAAAGAGCCTCACTGACATGGATACTCTGGCACTAAGCCATTCTTCTTCTTCTTCTTCTTCTTAGTATTATTATTATTATTATTGTTATTACTGTTGCTGTTACTATTATTATTATTATTATTATATATTTTGTGGTTCAATTTTATCCTTGGTTTAAGTTTTATTTTCTTTTGTTTTTAACTCATTATCACACGTTAACATACCTAAAAACAAAAGAAAATAAAATTTAAACCAAGGATAAAATTGAACCACAACATATACACCATTTTAGTCCACAATAGTTTTTGTGAATAAGGAATTCTTTTCTTGCTGCAGAGCTATACAGAGTCACTCATGCTTTTGGCAAGTTTATGCAACAAGAGACAACAAGTATGTTATTTTCACCCTCTTCCCTCAAATGTTAAGAATTCTGAGTCTTCTTTTTTTTCTTAATATAATTCAGAGTGTGTTATAATAAAATTTATTATCAGTTTTAATTTGAACTGAGACAATTCAACGAAAATTTATTCAGCTTAATTATGATGCTGAATACGTTTTCTTTGAACAGTATCAATTTAAATTCCCTCAGGTAATAAATTAAAACAGTTATTTAATGGAATGAAGATTGTATATGTCATTTTATAAATTTCTCACTTGTTTTTAATTATACTTTCCCCCTAAAGGAGCTTAGCAATCCACGACAGAGGGATAGGCTTTTATCAGCAATGATGGTCTTAAAGAAGTCTATAGGATTACTGTCAACATCTATGCAAGTGTACCTGAGTAATCCTACCAACCTACAAACAAAGGTGTCCTTTAATCCATAATTGCTTTTTATTTACTGTTGACTAAATTTCAAACAGTAAGTTTAGATACAAGACTTGAGAGGCGTGTAGAATCTGAGTTAGCTGCAGTGCTTTAATTTTTGCAAAAGGCAAGTTTCTTTTCAAGTTTGCTGGAAGTGTTGTTTTTCCTTACTTATGTTAGGCCATTTGCTAAAAATAATAATAGAAATAACACAATGAATATTGTCTGTATATAATGAGCAGATTTTTTTTGCTATAGGCAAATCGTGATTATGTAATTGGTCAAATCATGTTGGCTTGCACTGAAATTATTAAGATTGTTGAAGCCAGAGGAGACCTGGATCAGAGTATAGAGGAGCCAGGCTACATGGCTGCTACATTGGAAAAGGTATAAATAAAAATAACATGTGTTTAAACTAAATACAGATTATGATTTACACCCCGCCACCTGTTGATGTTACAGGTCAAATGTGAATTCAGGTTAATTTTTATTTAACCTACTAGAGAGGTTATTAATTTTCTTTGTGTCACGTATGTAACCCTAAAAGACAAAGGAATTTGACAATCAAGTTGGGTTAAAAATTGTTTAACCTGAAATCAAAGTTGACCCATAGACACCACTATTCAAATCATACGCTGGTAGCAGTATACAGGTGTATTCATTGAATTACTAATAACTTCCCCCCCCAAACCCCCTTGGATCTGCTATCAAGGAAGGTTTAAACTTTCTCTATGCACTAAATATTTAGTCGGGATCTCTTTGTTGCTACTGGTAATGTTTTCCTGAAGTACTCTTGTCACTGTCTTGGGCAAATTGTTCCAAAGTTGCATTTATGGTAAAAATCTAGGGCTCAGTTACCATTGCAACTCTTACACTCTGTTTACAGCTAACCCAGAATTAGAGCTAATTAGTTTTGTACTTCATGTACTTGACCCATTGTTGAAATCACAAGGGAACAGGAAGAGTACAGTAAATGTGGTACTTAAAGATAATGGTGGTGGTGAATGCAAATCATTGAGAATGGTGTCTTCTTTTTAGGCTCACAAGCAGCTGTCCCCTCATAGTAGACTGGGATCCAATAATGAGCTGGACTGTTATTTGGATGCTATTGTGCGCAGCAGCATGGGTGTTGCCAACAGCTGTGAAGGAGTGAGAAGAGAGAAGATTGTACATGCATGTCAGAGTGTTAGTACTGATAAGTGGCTTTGTGAATTAATTTTAGAGATCTACATACAGCTGTATGTTAAATAATGTGGTCAAGAAGTTGCATTTGAAAATAAACAAGGAATACTTTCTTTTGGTAGATAGTGATGCAGTCTATTATTAACAATGCATGGTCTATTGCAGTTCATTGTCCAATGTTTCATTGAAAATCTTGATTCATCATTTTTTGATTGGATAGAAATGTAAAACAAGATCTTTCAGATTAGTTAGTTCAATACACGTTAAAGAACTAAACTGATTGAATTGTTACTATTAAAATTGATCCTTTCAGGTTCTGCAAATGAGAAATGAGCTGGCTGATCTGCAGAAAGCATTTCTTGCAAACCCTTTGTCACAAAGAACAAGGTGATGTAAGCTCTGTTTAGGGTAACCTACTGTCAGTTTTGTTACTGAGAAATGGAAGTCATCTTTCCAGATACCAGAGGAAGTGTAAAATACACTCTAAGGGACAAGCTTTGTCTTCAAACAAAAAAATGCACAGTGGGGAGAATATAAATGGACTGTTCCTGCATTTCTCTGAACAAAGGCACCAACTCGAGGGTTGGGGGACAAAATACAGTGATATTTTCTAAATTGAATTCCTCCTGAAAAAATGGGCCTGAGCCTGCGATCAATTAGAAACCAATAACTGTTCAGCGGAAAACTTAAAAACATGAGTTGTACACCTGACCCTGTTACAAAGTCGTGTAATACTGATCAGCAGATACCCTTTTTTGACAGCTGTCAATTGACCATAACATGGATGTCCAAAAGTATGTGTCAGTGTGACGTTTCACATCCACTGACAAGAACGGGCGGACATATGGACCAACCATTTTTTTACAAGCAAATTTCTTGAATGCATAGATAACCAAATTTTCATGGCACTCCTCTCGAGAGCTCCGCTATGACTGTTATTGCAAGTGCCATATTAATTACCTGATAATGTTAAAATATGCCATATTTTGCTCTCATTTCACTTTATCTCTCCTCAGACATGAACTCGACCTGGCATCTGAACGGTTATCAGTAGAACTAAAGAAACTCGATCGTCATGTCTCCACCGCAGTGATTGATGACATAACCACTGTGTTTGCTGATGCCGAGTTACCAGTTCATAACATGATACAAGCAGCTACTGCGCCCCTCTTAGTAAGACAGCTAAAGAAAATATAGCCAGGTTTCTTTGTACTGTCTAAATTAGACGCTTAAGGATAAACTGTTGCCATACTGCACCGGTGGGAAGAAGGAAAATTTGTTACAATATGCAAAAACTCAAACTAAAACAAAAAGGTCTGAATTATAGAGCTTACCTTCTTCATGAACGAATTTTAGACGTAGGACCTTTATTGTGATATATTTTAAGAAAAATGAAGGAAAATATCTTTCCAGTTTACGAGTAGCATCAAGCGTAAATCGATTGTAGCTACTTTGTCGATAGTTAACTAACATATCTGAGAAAAAGCAAAAGCAAGCACCTTTATTGCAAAATGGAAAAAATAATTTTTTTAAAAAAACTTTATTTTTAATATTAGTGCTCGTGCAGTAACTACGTTTTGTGATAACAGGATATGAGTGTACAAAGTCAAGAAGATGCAGTAATGAGATTACAAGCAAAAGCTGATGAATTCCAAAAACATGCAGCAAGATTAGCAGAGGTAGCAAGGCAGTGTGCGGCTTTATCAGCTGATGCAAGAAGTGAGTTCCAAAAACCACGATCTATTGTTGACTTTTATTACAGAGTTATCTGCATGATTGTAAAATTGATGCTATATTTTTATGACAGGGAAACTGCACTCTTATAATGTTGATGCCAACATGGCTGAATTGAATTCTGAATCAAATTCTTGTTAAAGAAGTGAAAAGAAAATGCAGTTGCGTAGAAATAGGCAATTGCACGATAACGCATTTTACTGTTACTACCATAACCCTTGACGCCATCGCTATGGAATCTCCCGCCAACTGCCATTCAGAACAGTACAGTGGATTTTCCCCGTTCGAGTACTGGTTTCTGGTCCAAACGTTTGTCTACTTGCGCCCCCACCCACAAAACCGATTTGTCGACTCTTCCCTATTTTCGTCTGTTGGCCATGACAGATGCAAGATCTTGACTCGTAAGACCGGTATGACTCTCTTGCTGGTCAATGCCGGGATGTTGTTGCTGGGCATTCCCTTAAGCGTCTGTTATCTCGTTATCAGTTTGCCATATTTGTTACTCTGACCACCTGTTATTACGACCAGCTTTCATTCTCGGTGAGAACAAGTAATAAAACCGATCAATCTTGAGCGTGTTTCATCTTACGTAAAGTAGCGTTCAGTGATATTTGTGATTTCCAACAGATTGATGTTCACAAACTATATTTGTCATCACATAGTCCAGAAGGACATAGTATCATAATGTTAACCACCCGTTCGGCAACGTTAAAGAAAACGTCATAAAACAACAGGGCCCAGTTCTTCGAAAGGTGGATAACACAATTGATTTCCCTATTGCATATCCATTGGATAGCGATTTATCCGGTGGATAGCGCTGTCCAACGTTTGAACAACCGGAGCCAGGTTTAATCCCCAGTTGCTCGAGCAATTTTTTTTTTCTTGTCAAGGAAAAAAGATTTCCTGTAAATGTGACTTGGCATAAGTAATTTCTGGCTACATCGACGTTCTGGCTAAACTCTGGCGTTCACTCGCATTTCTCTTACTTTTGTTAGGGGTACAAGCGATAAATGGAACAGCTAATGATATCGAAAAACTTGCTCCTCAACTTACGTCAGCAGCCGTGAGAGTGCGACATACTCCCACTGATATAGGCTGTACAGAACATCTTGGTCAACTGAGAAGAGATTGGACAGCTAGGATCCATGTACTCACTTCTTTGGTTGACGACATCACAGACTTTAATGACTTCGTGCTCATGACGGGTATAATATAATATTTATTTTATATTGATCTTAGATTAAATTGGCGACAGGCGTGACTCTTCCCCCGCCCTTACAGTACCTGCGCTCTCGTCTCGCGTAGTTGCCAAGGTTACCTTCCGTGTAAAATTGGCCTTCTGTTCTCTCAGACCGACCACCTGTTAGGCGCCTGCTCCCTCGAAAAGAGTTTCTCGAGTCCTTCTGCAAGCTTGACAGTAAGCTTGATATCCTGTACACTTATGCTTTATGACCGTGCGTATTTTTTACTCTTAAGATTTCAACATCCAGAAAGATATTACGTGTTCTCAAGAAGCGTTACGTGAGCAAGATATTACAGCAGTGTCCCAGACCTCCCTCAGAATGCTTGGCCGAGCTAGAAGAGTTGCCATGGCTACAAAGAAAGAGATGAATGTGACCGCTGATCCAATGTACAAGGGAAAGCTACAGGCTGCGTGCGCCGAGCTGGAATCAGGTTTGCCTAATCTACAGTTTAGTTTTCTCTCTGATTATCTACATATTCCTTCCGTAGCTGGCGAGAGCATGTTATGTGTCAAGGCACGTATTAGCTTAAATTCTTTAAAAGGAAAAAAAAATTTCTTGTTGTCTTTTTGACGTTTTTGTTTTTGCTGTCGGATTTTTCTCTTTTACCCATGATAAGAGATATTTAGTTTCGTTAATTTCACTCTTCGTCAGCAAACCGTACATGAATCTTTTAATTTGCACTCTTACTTGACAGCTGGAATGCAGAATGCCTTACTATTGCACCTTCGACTTTATGTGGTTATTTATGTATGTATCTTACAAAGCAAACATACTTGCGAGTTTGCTAGTAACTTGTTAATTAAGATGTTTGGCGGCTTTGTTTAGCATACACAACCGCTTCTGGTTTGTTTTTAGTTATTATACCTCGCTAGAGCAGGTGCTTTAAAATGCAAAATGTTATTTGTTTCGTTTATTTTCAGCGCTTCCAATAGTAGTTCAAAGTTTAGAAGGAACCTTGTTGAACATGACTGATGTCGACCAGCATAACAAGCTCTCTGAGAATTCCAAACTTCTTGGAGACAAAGTCAAGTTAATAAAATCCGCCCTCAAACGTCCAGAAGGAGCTAACATAGGTTTGTAGTAGTATAGTAAGGACCGAATTATCCTTTTTCACCAAGTATCATCTCATTAGTGTGAAGTGAAATACATTGACGCTGGTTATGTCATAGCCTTTTGTATTTATCTCATGAATAAAGCGCGGAGAATATCATCAAGATAAGGTCATATGCTATTTTTAGATGGTTATTTTTAGGTTGATGAATGCCTTCCTTTTTGATTGGCTGACTGGTTGACTGATTGATTGGTTGATTCATGGTGTCGAAGGAATAAGCGCTAACTCGCCTGTGACTTAAAATCATTGAGCCGTAACGCAATTATGCAAGTTCTATTTTCTGCCGCTTTCATTGTCCATTGCAGCCAATACTTGTTCCAGTTCCGCGTCACTGATTATTGACGCTCACATCGTATATATTAATGAGAGCGAAGGGAAACTAACTCCAGCAAGAAACACAATATTTTACTTACCCCTCCCCAGTCCTGCCTTCTCCGTAATTCAACTTTTTCGCTCCTCCTCTATTTTAACCCACCGCAACAATATTTTTATTGTTTTCCCTCCTCCTCCTTATTTTTATTGTATATTACCCCCCCCCCTTACCAAGCTCCCCAACCCATTGTCATTCTTCTTGACTGTAGTTTCTTTTCGCAAGATAATTTTAGAACATGAGATAACAGCCAGCATTTCGTGACGTCACCATTGGTTTCCTGCGAAATAACGTCAGAAATAGGCCATTTCCGAGTTCCCCAGGGCTTCTGTTTCAAAACGAGGGTAGGTGTTCAGCTTTTGATAAGGAAATCATTTTTCATTCTCATGCAAATAAAACTCATTTTCACAAGAAAGGTTGTGCACCTAGCCTCATTTTGAAAGTGAGGGTTTTTGGAACTAGAAAGTGGCCTATTCCATAAGCTCCTTTTGTCAATGCGCACATTTCACCTTTGATGATTTATGTAATTTGTTGTTTCATTTTTTGCTTACTTTTGTAATGTGTTGTAATTTTTGTAGTATTCTCTTGAAATAGTGCAAAAAAATCTGAAAAATCCCTACTGATTTAACGCGTCACTACCCAGGTCTGGGTAGTTCTGCTGTGACGTCGAGAAATGTCGGCTGTTCTATCAGGCTAACATTTCTATAGAACAACACATTTTAGCATCGTTTTCATATTTTCCAACTGAACGTAGCTACAGTGTAGATTCTCTTTAAAGTAAAAAGCATGATCTTTGTGATCTTGTGACGCGGCCGATCACGTAGCATTCACGCCACTCTTATCACACTAATCAGTCTCGACTTCCCCAACCTAGTTTGGTCGAAATTGTCGAATTTTTGGCTAAAAACTAAAAATCTCTAAAAGCAAAGAGTGGACATTATATTGATTGATTAATCGATTGATTGACTGATTGATTGATTTTGTATTTCACGGAAGATTTAACTGATTATGGCAATGATGTGGCAGACGGTAAAGTTGTGGACCCAAAGGACAATACGCTGGATTTGTTTGAGATCTTACGCGGCCATCGTCCATCAGCAGGTACACTATTAACTCTCTACTTTTTAAAATCTTATATCTTTATTATCTACTGTATAAATTGGCGGAGTTTGTTGCTTGCTATGGAGTAAACATCGTGATTTTTTTTGTTAAAAGGCAAAGGTATTTTTACGTATTTGTGGGGGTCTGATTAAGTTTTTTTGACCATTACTTCAATTTTGTGAAGTGAACGATGGTGCGTGTGAACTTCACGGCGCGCCCGAACTTCACAATTGTACTTAGCTAACTGACTTGTTGGGAATAAAGACCATACTGCAAAATGGAAACCATTATCATTGCTGTACGTGCGACGCACGTGAGAGCCATGGTAACGAGAAACACGTTTCGTCCTTTCTCCTCGCTCCTCTCCTTTCGACTCGTGCTCCACAGTTTCTAACGACTGCTGAATGGATTGCCCGATCAGTATCTTACAATATTCGTTAATTCCTTATAATGAGTCGAAAATTTGTAGCCATTAGTCCGTTTTGAATTCCTGACGCCTTTTGAGACACGGAAAGCGGCTACTTATTTTCACGTTTGCAATGTTTACATTAAAACTCGTCCACGTTAATGAACGAAATTGGGGTGATTTGTGGGCTAGATTCTCTCTTAGGATTTTGATCGCGAAATATAACTTGAAATCCAAAGATTTAACGAAACGTAAATAGAAACTGGTTCCAGGCCGTGTAAATCTTGTTAGTCGAGCTTGCTTTAGCAGCGAGGCACTAAAATTGTAAGCGTTTCTTTTTCTTTCTCTCCAATCGAGGCCCTTGATGTTCGTGTATTTATACACGCGTACTCAATTCAATCAATGCAGAAACAAATCGTCAAATAGGATGTCAAAAGTAAATATCCTGAAGAATACTCGACCGTCGACAAAGTAGGACGTGAAAAACTTTCAACGAGGAAATCTTGTTTCGTGTAGAATTAACCGCCTCCTCAGTTCTTATCTAATCTACGAGCAAGATCGACTTACACGCTTTTCAGATCGTTCTTGTTTTCTGCGTATTTTTGCAGTGAGTGACACGGTGTCAGTTGGTGAACCTGATTTAACTGAGCTTGGAGGGGAATCTGCCGTTCAAACGGCAGCAAGTCTAGATCTTTCAAGTCAAGAAGATGTAAGTTGTATTTTCCTGCCTTCTTTTTCTCACACTGGTCAGCACATGTATTGTTTTGCCGACAGTCAAAAGAAAAATCATAGCGTTTTCTAGCAATGTCTTTGTCTCGAGATACGATTGGTTTAGTATTTAAAAAGGCAGCGTGGCCAAGTGGTTTAAGGCGCTAGATTTTAACTCGATCTCCCTAGGTTCAAATACTTGCTCTAGTCAATAGCTGGAATTTTTCCTTGTAATCTTGAGGTCAACTCCTCGGCCACGCTAGGAAATAGCCAACGGGGTCCCTCCAGTTTTTCATTCGTCTAATAGTTTTATTTGAAGGCGTGGATTGTCTGGTGGGGAGTGTTTTCCAGCTCTTGATGAACGGCCAGGGCCGCGTGGCCATTATGAAGCTTTAGTAAACATGTAGAACTATACAGCTTCTGCTGCTAGAGGTCAAAGCGTTCTTGAAGCCTAAACCTCCAAATTTCGAATCTGACAAATAACTCTTCATCTTTAGATTTATACATTGCCGGTCTTTTGACAGGTAGTCTGTTCAAGTTGCAATAAAATCGTCTGTAAGTTGCATGAAAGTATGACTGCCGTTAGTTTAGCAAGGCGACCTGGAATCACATTTGAAAATTGCCCTTGAAATGTATTTATTGTTTGTCGTATTTTATTTTTAATGGTTGTATTTACTTCAGATTGAGCCGGCGCCAAAACCAGTTCGTTCTAAGTCACCAAAGGAGAAGCGGGACAGGTCACGAGACAGATTCCGGGACAGATCACGCGATAGATCCCGCGGGCTCACCCGGACCGTGGATTCTGACGATCTGCTCTTCAATTTTTCGGAAGATGATGAAATGGACAGGATTAACAGAAAAGCTCTTCTTGGTATGTTTAGCGGCAAGATAAACAAATCTGTGGCCCTCAAAAGGACATTTTACAAGAACTGCGTCAAACTTTGATCCACTGTTTTCAGCAAATTAAAATTAAGACTTAAGTCAAATTAAGTCAATGGTGCCTTGAGCGCACGCTCGCATTTTCCAGCAGCCTGTCTCATTCTGATTGGTTCATTGAATTTTCTACGTCTTTTGTGCTTGGATTAATCATTAATCATTTTGCCATATTGAACTGTTCACCTTAAGTTTTACCTTCTTTTTTTGTTTAGGAATAAGCGCGGAGCACTGGAACGAGCCATCGCTTTCATCGGGAGTCGTTCGCCCAATTAAACCCTCGCAGACTTCCCGCGCGCCTGTCTCCAGACTGCTGAGTGCTGTGAAGGTGAGAGATTTTGAACTGGCTGACAGAGAACTGAAGAAAGTAGAATCAAGAGCGACTGCCTTGAGAACACTAGCGGGAAGTTGTGCCGAGAGATCAAGGAATACTGAAGGAGTTAGGTAAGGCTTACGAATATATTATTCTGCAGTATTGTTAATAAACTACAAACTTTGCAAGAGTAGGTTCTTAGTTCTCGATAAGTTCTTTCGCCCGCTCGTCCCGCAGGCTCACCCGAGCAAAGCCCCATACCTAAGAAAAGTGTGTGCTCAGCCTCGGTGTGGCGTTCACGCACAGGACGCCTTTTAGAATTAGGGATTTCTAGTACTACATATACACGTCATGTCGTTGCTGTTTGTGCACTCCCACTGTACGTTTTCGCTTTATTTTAGTAGTCACCTTTTCGTGAGTCCTTCCTAAATTTACATCTTTTAATTCAATACATATTTCTTGTCGCAGGCTAGTTCGAGTCTCCTGTGATGAAATAGAAAAACTAACACCGCTTATCGTGCAAGCGGCACATGAATTCCATACTAACCCACGTGACCTGGTGGTTGTTGAACGCCTGCAAACGATTGGACGGGAGTGGGCTTCCAAAGTACATGTGTTGTCCGGTGCCGTCGATGAAATAGTTCAACCGTGGTCAGCGGCGGCTTCCAAGCTGGCTCTGGCAGCTACATCCGGGGATGCTGAAGAACTGAAGAAGCAGGTCAGTTTTGTTTTCCAATCATTTACAAAGTTTGAGCATGCGCAAAATGAAGGACTTTTCCGGATGTCGTTATCTTTTTTTTTTGTACGTTTGCGTTCTATTCCTAGTCGCTATTGGAACGAATTAGATAAGAAGAAATTGTACAGTGAAACCCCGCCTTACGGCCACCTAGGTAATACGGTCACCTCGTTATTACGGCCTTTTTTTGGCCGCCCGGCAAAACGGTCATACATTCTCTCGAAAAAGAACCCTCGTTAATATGGTCAACCGTTAATACGGCCAATTTTTTTTGGCCCCGGCATTGGTGCCCGTATTAATGGGGTTCCACTGTACATGTATTAAGAATATTCTGGGCGCAATTGCCCATCCCCCCACCCACGACCGTAGTTACTCTCTCTTATCTAATATTTAGGGTTTGAGAAGGAGTCTGATTTTTAGATTCCTTGAGGTGCCGGTTATGTTGAAGAGATGATGTGTGCATAACACAATAACATAAAACTGAATCAAAACAGTTGTTTAAGTATTTTTTCCTTAAGAAGACTGTGATGAGAGTGTCAAATGTCTTAGGCATAATAAGCACTAGTGGGAGATACTAGAAGAGAGTGAAAACTCAGCTAAAAGATGCATATACTAAGAACTGACGTATTTAAATTATCTGAGGTGAAATGCTTTGCGAAGATGGCATAAATGTCTGGGAAGAATGCAAGTATTTATGATGTCCCACCGGCTAGTCATGCGTTACAACAAGGTTGGTGTTTTTTTCCTTTTTCGTTAGGTGGACAATATAAACAGACATGTTCTTCGGCTCAGACAGTTGGCAGTAGCAGCCAAAGCAGCGGCAGATGCTGAAGATTACGCTATGAATGCTGGGAATGAAGGTGAACCGCCTGCACGTGACCCTGCCTCGCTTCAGCGTGTTGAGCAGGTTCGGTTGACGTCAGGAGAAGTAGAAAGAATGACACCTCAACTCATAACGGCGGCTCAGGTTTGTATGAAACATATTTGCCTTAGAATCTTTTTGCATCCGGAAAAGATTTAAAAAAATAGATGATAAAACGATCGGACTTACTGTGTCAAAGCTTGCGGTCAAGTCGAAAACTTCGGTACACGTGGGGAGAGGCGAAAAGTGTAGATCCTCTTGGACTCTTGGCCGACACTCACATGATTTTTTCGGTGTACATAGCATAGCATATTTCAGATTCTGTATTAGAAGCCCGGTTTATTAGTCCAATTGTAGAGATGAAACGCCGAGTTCGAGAGGCTGCCATTTTGATTTCAAATAATGAAAGAGGAATCCTGGAGGAGCGCAAACTGTAGACCAACACGGATGCCTTATTCACACTCTGTGATCGATCTCAGTCGAAATTCACAAGGAATAACGGGAGACTTCTCTAGAACAGTCTTAACTGTCGTTCAAGGGCCGGGCTGTCTTATTGCATTTTCAGTGATTTTGCCAGTTTTCGTTTAAAACTACAAATTTTTGACATTTTCAGACATAACATACAAACTAATACAAACTTGAAAACTGGCTGCTGTTTTTTGTGTTTACCTGAATGCGATCCGTTTTAGTCTGTTTCAGTTTTTCCTATCTGTGCTGCTTTTTGGCTCTTCTTTAGTCTTCATGTGCTCTTCTAAAATTTGAAGCAATCAGTAGTTTGATATTACAGCTGGTTCTGTGGTCATTTGGTCTGTGTTGCCATTTCCTAAAATAATCCTTTTATTCCCCTAGGCATTGTCAAGAGATCCTACTGATATTGCGAATGTTGAGCGATTAGAACTGCACAGGAGGGACTGGGCCTCTAAAGTCTACAGTCTGGTGTTTGCCGTTGATGACGTCACAGTTGGAACGTCTGCACCAGTTGAACAACTAACATCTGTTGCCTTGGCGGCAGACCAGCATGCATTGCAAGAACATTCCCGCATGTTAACCTCATTTTCTCGAACTCTAAAAGAAATGGAAATTGCCTCCACGGCTGGGTTAGTGCAGTAACCGGTCTGTGCGTTTTATGTTCATTTCAATTTTAAATATTCCTAACCTGTTCCATGCTCTCTGAGACAATGTAACAGGCTACACGGTTCCCTAACAAGCCTTAAATTTCAGGGCGAGCAATTTATTGAAAGTCCCAGATGTGACACTACATTCTGTGCAGCGAAGAGGGCTTCGTGGATCAGTAATCTGTGAACCATGTTACTTAATCCGCCATTTGAACGTCCCAACGACATTCAGATATAAATGATCCTTGCCTATTTTTCCTTTTTTTAGTTGCGATGATCCCAAGAAAGTAAGTCTTGCTGAGGCGACTGTCAATTCTGTAGAGAAGTTAACCACTGACCTACAGGACACAGCTCGCGTGGTATCTGAGATGGCTGCGCGGGAACACAGAACACTGGAGCAAAGTTTGGCGTACATGGGGGTGGTAGAGAGGATGAACTTGCTTCAAAGAGAGTGGGCGACTAAAGTGAGTGTATGGGGGTGGTAGAGGGGATGAATTTGAATCATCACTGATCAGATAAGACGCAGGTTTCGATTCAATTTTAGCAATGGTGCAGGGAGGAGACTATAAGAAAAAAACCGTGAAAAGAGAATTATTAGACTTATTTTTAAATCATTCTTCATTTATGCCTTACCATGAAGTTGAATCATAGCAAACCAAAAGAAGCTATTAAAACCATATTGAAATCACTTTCCCAACTACGCCCCCTGACACAAATAAAACACAATTCGCTTTTTGGCACGGAGAGAAGTTTATTAAGAATACGAACAAAAAGTAAACAACAGCCAACGATATACCTAATAAACCTTTCTGCCACCCTGTGACATTAAATAAAATCACCAAGGGTGGGTGGGTGGGTGCAGTACGGTGCAAAACTCTGGTATACGCTCGAGGTAAAAACTGACTCGAAATGAAACGCGAAACTCCTATCACCTGATACTAAAGGATGTGTGTTGCGCAATTAATCCCTTTGAACACGTGCTTGTCCAAAGGGGGCAACTGATTCTGTAATTTTTTAAACTTCAGGTCCATTTGCTAACTGCTCTTGTAGATGACCTGACCGCTGAAGCGTCGGCACCAGTGGATCGTCTCGCGGGCGCAGCACTTGCTGTTAGCAAAGCAGAACTGGGTGAAAGAATACAACAGCAAAGCAATTTTGAGATGCAAGCGGATGAGCTCAAAGCAAGTGTGGCACGTGTTCGAACGCACGCGAGTAAAGCCGTGGAGAATTCTCGACACACAAGTAAAGTTAGACACGTTCGTGTGACTGGTGACTTCATTGACAGACTAACGCCGCAAGTTATAGCAGCGGCACGTGCCCTAGCCGGTGAGAAGAATTTACATGAATCTTCTCGTAATGCTGTTGTTGTTTCTTTTGCATGGCGAAGTCATTTAAGACGCGATGGAAATTTTCCTCTTAAAAGAGGTCAAAGCTTGGTTCAACAAAATTTCAAAATTTCATCATGTGAATGTACTGCTTGAGAGGTTTTATTTACATGGTCGCACTTTCCGTCATTTACTCTAAAGGCCGATACACACGAGGGGTTTTGCTCCCGGAGCATGCTCCAGGCTCATTTTGCACGTGTCAGTACACACGAGGGAGCGTTTTCAAGTCCGAGATATTTAACCGGTTAAATATCGTGGAGCATTTTGCGGGGTGGAAATTCTGCTCTCGAGGATGAAGTATACTCATGAAATCGTTGGTACACACGGAGGGGCTTTACTCCCGGAGCGTGCCCCTGGAGCATGCTCCGGGAGCAAAATCCCTCGTGTGTATTGGCCTGGAGAGAGTTTGCTCTGTATTAACTCTAATTTGCACCTGTTTATAACGGCACTATGGAGTGGTGAGAGAGGTAGTATAGGTAAGTAACTCTGCCAGATAAAAGTTCCATCGACTGGGGATGAAATTTCGAATACCTCTTCATGTTACCAGAATCGAGTGTCCCTGATCTATTTAGTGGCTTAGCCGCTCAGGGCTGTCACCAAGATTTCAAGTTGCCGGGTATATGAAATTATGAGGCGGGTAATCTATTCAATAACTAGAATGTCCCTTTGGTTGTATTTTTCTTTTGTTCCATATGAAAGTAGCCGGTTGTTATGCTCGTAGTAGCCGAGGGAAATCCCCGGCCCTTAGTGAACAGCCCTGCAAAGTCTCAACAGTTCTACTTAAATTTGCACGGGTTTTACCTTATTACTGTTTGTGAATAAAAATGAAGCCTCCAAATGAATTCTTAGTCTACGCTTTAGTAACTGTCAGTATTGATATTACTGGTATGTTTCCTTGTCAGGCCTAAGTTATTTGAGTTTGATTGTCATTTCAGACAAACCTGATCAGTCAACTGTGGAGCATTTTCAGATGTTAAGACGTCAGTGGGCGTCAAAGGCTCAGCTTCTGATGGCCACACTGGATGGTCTGCCCGATGCTGATACTGCCGCTGTACAAGGTAAGTATCAAAAGACAGCCGCGGGCGCCCGATCAGAGCTCGAGGATCCCATTTTCGGACAACACGAACGTACCTCGTGATTAGTATTTTCCCGCTTTAGCAACGTTTACCATCTGCAGTTTTGAACGCGAGAAAATCATTTGATGTAATCAGTTTAAGTTTTTTTTTCCTTCTTGGGGATTCAATGGCAATCTAAAAAGAAGCCCAGCCAAGGACACTTTTAAGGCACCGGAGCTCAAACTGGTAGCTGGAGCCATTCCAGGATCCTTGGCTGGTCAAAGAGTGGGGGACAACAAACCGGCGTTAGTGGCTAGTAAAAACACCGCGAAATTTCAGATCTTAAGTGCCGTGGTGAACGAGAAGTGCTTGATATAGTGTACAGTTCAAGTGACCAATCAGCCAAGTCTCTGACTTATCGGATTCCCTCCTGAAAAATAGTATCCTATAAGAATTATTTTTTACTTTTTTTTAGCTTAAATGAGTTATCTCGTGCTAACAAAACTAAGCTAAGCAAAAGGCTCGCACAATTATTTGACGTGTTTATTATTTGGTTCCTTAACAGACGTGTTTCAGGCATTGTTAGGAATGCCGCAAATGGAAGCTACGCACAGCTTTGAATCATTGAACGAAGAGGAAGCGGTCGCTATCGAGGGCTCATCGCGTGAACAAAAACCTTTCTCCTATGGAGAGGGCAGTGTGCTGGTATCACCCTCTCCCACGAAAAGTTTACCATCTGCAGCTAGTCAATCACCGGAAACTAGCTCGTTCTTCGATGACATGGCATTGAACGATGTAAGTCTCATTATTCATCACCCTAATATATAGTCCGCGGTTTTTACGTGACTGTAGTCAATTAACTCTCCTAACGAATTGATACAATTTAATTTAGTGCTGACCATTACCTTTGTTAACCTTGCACAAAAAAGTGTAAGCATGGGAGTCTGGATATAAAAGGCTAAAAAATCAAAGCCCTTGCGCATTGAAGGTGTTTTTATCGAATTCAAAAGCCGCGCGATAACGTTTTTTCCTTTTCGGGGGAGGGAGAGAAACAATTGAATATTTTTTTGCCGCAGTACCGAACAGATTCCTGATTCGTGAAATTAAAAACAATTTGAAACTTGTCAAAGGTACCTCATACGAACTTCGTTCCCAATTTCTGTGGAGGAAGTTGACCCGATTAACGGCTAGATTGATACCTATTCTGAAGTACGCTCAGATGCTTATTGTGTAACTGACAAAATATCTTTCTCTTTTGCTTTGAATTAAAGAGGAACAAATCCCTGGAAAGGTCATTTTCACTTTCCGACACTGAGAGTGCCCCTGAGGTCCGTCGCCTGCGAGGGCCCTGGGGATCTGCTAGTGAAACGGATCTCGCGAGAAAGGCCCTTGTTGATGAGCTTCACCAGCGCTTCTCCTCAGCCGAGTCCCTCGCTCGTGCAGGAGGCACTAGGCGCTATCGACACCATCAGCGAGCTGCCAGCATCATGGGACTATCCCGAGGTGAACCCGACTGGAGATCGACGTCTGTCGAAGAATTGAGAGCAAAGAAAAGCTCCAAGTCAATTGAGGTAGGTTTATACAAATATCAGGGGCACCCAACGACGATTTCCCTCTACGCACATTGAAAACACTGTTTAGGCTATCCAGAGAACTTTTAGATCTCTAGAAATGCATTATATATACAAATACAAATTACAGATACAAATTTTATAGCGCCGCTGTATCTGTTCTGTCATCCTAGGGCAACTTGAGTCGGTTCGAAATTATTAGGCCTCCAGTATTACTTTCCCGAAAATTTTAGATGCAATTAACGTTTTACGAAAGTGAGAATTTTTCTATTTCTTCTCTACATCGCTTTTTTGAATCCGAACATTTTAGGTTTTCTTTTTACTGCGAAAAATAGCCGAACCTGGGGAGTAAAATGTAAGAAATTAAACTTCAGAAAATCGTAGCGGGTTTAATGGAAACGCTTCGAAAATTGTACATGAATGGAACGGTCATGAAGAAATTTTTAGCCGTCCTCAAGTAGTAGAAAATTCTAGGCAATATTTGCTTCTCGGAACAGATATTTTACAGAAAACAGTCGTTGGGTTCCCCTGAAATATTAATGCAGCGTTAAATTTTCGAGGCATTGCTCAATACTGTACAATTTTATCGCTAGCAATTTTGAACAATAAAATTTTGGGAAAATTTGTTGTAACTTGACCTTGACGAAGTACATCAGCGTTTTTCCTTCATTCATTTTGACGCACGTCAAGAGATCATTATGATCTGTTGCGGCGCACGTATAGTTGAAGTTTTGTTACTTGTTTTGTAGTTTGCCGCCCAACTGCTGCAAGAAGAAACAGATAAATGGGAAGAAGAAAACAACTCAATCGTGAAGGTGGCCAAAGAAATGGCGCTACAAATGCTGCAGATTGCAAAGTTCGCTCGAGGACGAAACCGACTCCAGGTACCATAAATCAATTGAATGCAAAACAGTTGGTTTATTTTCATTATAACTTTTTCACTGCTCGTAAGACGTGAAGCGACGGAATGGTTCCCGAGTGTCACTCTCTGTCGCCGGCGCCCTCCGTATCCTGCGTGCGCCAGAGATTTTTCCGCGCGTGCGGCGGGATATTTCGGTCCGGCCACGAGCGGCGAAGCAGATCGATTTGACCGAAACCGCGCATTTAAAAAGTCTCCGGCACTCAGGGTGATCTCCGACAACGCCTTCCGAAAACGCCTCAATCCCGAGTACCTATGTTTTATGTAAAATGTTTTTAACTCCGTTGATTTTGAATACTAACCAAAACCTTTCTACTTTCTGGCCAAAAAGTCTTAGGCAGTTTTAAAAATGAAACAGTGAGGTCAATTTAGGTCCAGGGTTGGGTCAGTTGATCTGATGTATTAAAATATTTCAACTTAAATGAAAAATGAACTTAAAAAGTGTGTTAGACCACTGCACAATTTCCAGGTGATGTGCATTGTACGAATTAACGTTTGAAGGAGAAAATGCGTTTTAAAACGCGAGTCATGATAAAATGCTAACTGCGAGTTAAATAATCAAATGGCTAAATAGTGAGTGAAGGGGGGTTCTTTTTTTCCGCTCCACAGAGTAAAATGGAAATGATTAACATGGCAAAAGCGATTGCTTCTAACGCCATGGTTATCCTCAAATTTGCTCATGTTATTGCTGAACAAAGTGTAGACGAAAGGTAAGGAGTCAGAAAAGGACAAGTATTTAAATTTGAGAAGGTTTATTTATTTATTTTCAAAACTGCAGTTAGTATTTTTAAGTGTTTCAGTGATGACCAACAATTTTTTGGAATCCACACAGAGAGATTACTAGAAACGTGTAAAGTAAATTCCATAAGAAGGTGACAACGAGCGTAGAATTAACATACTGATGACGTGTCGCTACTCAGATCTGGGTAGTAACGCGTCATCAGTATGGAATTTCTGCGTTCGTTTCCCAGACGTCATTTCGCGGGAAAACCAGCGGTGGCATCACGAAATGTTGGCTGTTTTCTCATTATATACTTAACACGGTACAATACTTCGCATTGATTTTTCCGTCACAATTTTAGAGCAAAAGACAAAGGATCATTGTACATCGTCATGGATTTGCCGACATACACTGCAGCACCTTTGTTTTTATCTTTGTTTTTTGCCGCCTTTCGTAACCAGTCTCTCCTACTAACTATGCTACTCGGCTGGTTATAAGCTCCCATCTAATTATAAGGTAGACTACTCATGGACAGCCCTTAATATGTTGCTATTGTTATTTTTGTACAGGAGTAAAAGTGACCTGCTGTACTATGCAGAATACTTACCTACTATCAGCACCCAACTCAAAATCATATCTTCAGTGAAAGCAGCCACTCCCTCAGATATTTCGGTATGTTGAACTTTGATTTTGGATGGTTCATTTTTGTGAATGACAGGAATCGAAAAAACCATGAATTCCAGTTTGTCCTTTGGTCAAGCAGCTGTCACATTTTGCTTGCCGGGGCCACTTCTTGCTCGTCTTAGTGAATGACTTACTTAGAAAATGACTTGCTCAGACCCTTGCCCATTGGGCAAGTGAATTTTGAAAGTTACTCGACCAGCAAGAAAATCTGCTTGTCCCGGACTACCAGACGGAACATTTATCGAGCCATGCAGATGGTGTCATACTATCAATCAATCAATCAATCAATCAATCAATCAATCAATCAATCAAGCCATATTATTTAAACGTGTGACATTAATGAGCCGAAAAAAGGCTGGTTACAAAAAATGTACGTACAAAATGGCAATCATTTGCGATAGACCATTTCCGAATCACCTTTAGCCTCTTTTTATAAGCAAATCCTGTTGCCCATCCTTTCAAGTAAAAATAAGCGGTTGTCACTCACAAATATTTTAAACTCATTTTCACAGGAATGGTCGTGTATTAGGTCTGGTTTTGATAAAAAGGCGCAGAGCAACTCGAAAATGGGTCTTTTTCCGTAGTTTAACTCTGACCGGTTTTTATTGGAGCAAAGTGGAAAGTCTTTTAATTTGCAATTGTGCTTCTGGTTTACCGTTAGACCTACTGGATTGAGGGGTTACTTTTTAAAAAGACGCTGGTGTTTTGTACAAGGGGGTGAAACACCTAATTTAGTTGTCAACAAAGGGAAAGCTCTCAAAGCTTTCACGGCGTGAAAATCGGCAAATCTGCAGAACAAAATATGCTATTCAGTTAGCTGTCTCAAAACCTCCAACCGTGAACTGAATTTGACGAACAAACCTTTCCTACATCCTTGTGAATCAGCAGTAAAGATTAACAAGCTGGCAGCAGCATATATGCTTCTGCTGGCAGTCAAAACAGTACAACACTGAGGCAGGCACCGCTCTACAGTCCAGTACTGAGCTGAGCTGTTTTCTAGAGGGTCAAACTCAGAGATAGTTCAAGGGAACACTTTTCGTATTGAGGTTTGACTTCCAAAGCACTGCATTCGAGTATTCGAGTGCTCGTTCACAGTAACATGTAGTACTTTACAAAAAGTAATCCTCGTGTAAATTTTCTTTGAACCTTTTTTTGTTAACGGCGTTAAATTTTAGAATTTTGAGCACAAATATCATACAGTGAAAACTGTTTTAGCCATATTAATTTTTTTTTCAGTCGCTGGGTAAGGAAAAAAAGGCTTGTTTAACAAGTCTCAAAAGCCTACAGTATGTATCGCTCTTCTTTAAAGCTGCTTATATTTCGTTCTATTTCTAATCATATTTCCTTTTCGTCTTCCAGGCAGATGCAATGTTGGTGAAAAACGCACAAAATCTAATGCAAGCTGTAGTGAAAACTCTAAAAGCCGCTGAAGCTACCTGTGTGAAGGTAACTTCAAATAATGGCTAAAACGTTGTTTGAAAATGAACTGTAGTACTAAAACCTTACTCACTGCTTATCAGGGTCTCCTACCGCCAAAGCAGGATGCCTCAGCAGATCACACAGAGGCCGCTGACCTCGCTTTTCAATGGAAAAAGAAACTACGAAGGCAACGTGCGATCGAGGCTCTGACTGCGCCACGTGATGAGCTAGGACTTCGTAGACGAGAGAAGAACATCGCCACACCTTCTTTGGTGGATATTGTGCATGTGTAAAAAATATTGAATCAATATAGTCTATTCTATGTTGGTGTCATTTCACTCTAGTCGCCAGAATGCTCAGTCAAGATTTAGTTTTCTTGTGCGTCGTGTTTTGCTTGTTTTTTACGTTAATCAACTTTGAATAAGAAATAAAAGTTGAACGAATATTCTGGAAGTTTTAGCAAAGGAGTGACGCCATCATAAAAATGGTGTTTGTGTTGACGGTGTGTTTCTTCTGTGAATTAGATGTATATTTATTTTTATAATATATAGTTTTTAATAAAAAAAACACTTTGACTATGAGCGGTGCCTTATTTTGTTTTCCTCGTATCAGTATGCAATGTTCAGAGCCTTTGAATATCAGTAAAAGATTCCAAAAAAGCTGCACCAGTCTTACATAGTAAGTATAGGGGACCGGGTATGAAGGCTGGCAAACATGAAGTTTAGTAATTAGGGTAAGGAAACTGAGTGAATCAGGTTTCATTTAGATTCATTATACCGGGAAAATTGACCTGAAACTTGATTCACTCAGTTTCCTAACCCTGATCACTAAACTTCAGAGTCATTTGTCGTTCTGTATTCTGCATTCTGCGTTCTGTAAAGGATTTGCTCACAATGTGTCACGAAATCTTTATTGGCGGAATTACCGATGGAAGGCCTTGGGAGCATTAGGCCTGTATCAAACGTCGTGCTACTGCCGTGCTAAGCTGGCTCGACTGCAGCACGACATTAGCACGACTTGGTTTCAGACGTCGAATTTAATTCACACAATGTCAGTCGAATTAAACGGCTGTTGCCAAAAACAAAACAAAAATAGAGAAACGGTTTAGCAAATGAAACTTTTAACTATATTCTAATGTATTTCATAATTCATGAATTGAGTTCTGCACGGCGGTAGCACGACGTTTGAAACCAAGTCGAGCTACTGCCGTGTAGCACAGCAAGGCATGCCGTGCTACACGGCACTGCCGTGCTAAAGTCGAATTTAATTCGATCAATTGAGTTCGGCACGGCAGTAACACGACGTTTGAAACGGGCCTTAGTTTCGAATGTATTTTTCCTAGACGAAGGAGAGGGGAACGCGGTTACAATTTATGGAGAGGTTTTCGAATCCTGTCATTAATCCCAACTGGCTGCCGTGGAATTGCCCACTGCGATGAGATTGTCGTAGACTACCTTGCCCGAACAGCCTCAAAACTCAAACAACGTGTGTGGCGCATTTTAATATTTGTCCTATGCCAAATAAGATGGAAGCGAAGAAAACATTGCAAGTTGAGTGTAACTTTGATATTATTGGTATCATTGAAGCGCACCTGAATATATCAGTCTCTGATAACGTTCTGCACATCGACGGTATGAAGATCTGGCGACAAGACCGAAAGAAATGCAAAGTTGGTGGATGCGTGGTTTACTTTAAAAATAACGTAGGTCATTCACCGAAAAGATCAGAGTACTTGCGACCTAGAGGCTATCTGGGCTCGTCCCGTTTTCCGTGATTTATAGGTCCGAACTAGAATATCCTAATTTCTTTGAAAGCGCCTATGCAATACTTGAAAAGGCGTGGTTAAAGGCAGACCATATATTTTGACTGGCTGTCTTTAACTGTGATGTATTAAACTCCTTTAGCAACCCAATTATTACTTGCTCAACTCACGGAATACTGGAGACAAACTATTGATAACAATTTGGTAATTGCTACAGCCTTCGTGGATTTCCGTAAAGCTTTCGATTGTGTCTCTCGTAGTATCCTCCATGAAATGAAGCATAAAGTTTCAAGAAGACTATTCCACAGAACAGCACCACTGTAGCGAAAACTATTACGGAGATAATTCGTGCGTGGCTGTGGAATAGTTACTCAAATTATCTACAGAATCTCGAAAAGTGTATGAGACGGTATTAGATCGAGCAATAAATTTCGAGTTTAGGTATTCAGGAGCGAGGGCATCAAGGGATTTAAAAGCCGTTAAGGCTTTTGGATATCACGCTGAGTACTAAGATTTTTCCAATTTAAATTTTGGAACAGCTGCAATGCATCTGCGTCATAGCTTGAGAAAGTTAGAACTCGCGCTGCACTGATTTTGAAGTTTGTCTGCTAGTTTTATGCCACAGCTTCCCCAAACAACATTACAACAGTCGAAATGCGGCTGAATCAAGGCTTTGTAGATAAGATGCAATGTTGCTGGGGGAACAAATTGCCTAACCCCTTTGATAGCTGCAATACCAGAGGCAATTTTTTTAGCCAACTTCTCGATATGACTGCCCCAGGTAAGGTTTGCATCAATGAGTACAGCTAGAGATTTTGACGTTGATACATGGTTTACAGAAGTACCATTGATGATCATATTCAATTCAATTCAATTCAATTTTATTATTCACACTTTATAAGAAATTAAAATTATATATAGTAAAAGGTGAGAATACACTAATAAAGTAGAAGAAAAAGAAGAAGAAGAAGAAGAAGAAAAAAAGAAAATTAATGGCTTAGGTAGAAGTGTACGGTGGTCAGAGGAGCTTAGCTTTCGAGCTAACCACCGCTAGGAGAGGCAGTTAGGGTGTTCAGCTTTTGTCTCGAGACGATTACTATCAACTCAGTCTTAGTCATATTAAGTGTGAGTTTGTTAGCGATCAGCCATTTGCTGATATTTAGCAAGTCTTTATTCAAACAGTACAGGACTGAATGATATTCACATCTTTATCACCGTAGTTAAGATGCGTATCATCGGCATACATTCTAGGATAAGAGTCAGTTAAGCGATATGGTAATGCACCTATCAATGTAATGCCGGCGGGGGGGGAGGCAGGGCATGGGGTGGGGATTTGATTGTCTTTGTTGTCCCTGGGGTAGGGCATTTGACTGATCTTGTTCTCCCGGTGGAGGGGATATTTGAATCTTTCTTCGTCCGACATGAAGATATTTGACTGCGGACTCGGACGAAAAAGACTGATACCGAACATATGTTTCCCGCTTCCACGCTTCACCCATGCGCCATACTGTTTGAAAAGATCAGGAAGTCATGGAGGCCAATGAGAACAAGCGAAGGCTGAGTGGATTTCACTGTTTTGTCTTCAAATTTCGTTTGTTTAAATAAATATACTGTGGTATCAAAGTAAACGGAAGAGAAACCAAGTCGATTTTTGCAAGTGCAATTGATTACTGTATGGCTCATTCGCTACAATCACTGTAAACTTATAAAACTGACTTTCTTTTTACCCTTTACTAAGAACGGTATATTTAGACTTACAAAATGTGGACTTTCTCTTAAAGGTTTATGTATTCTACGCAGTGTAACACGGATTATGGTCAAAACGTATAATTGCAGCTGTAACAGGAACATATATCTTTAGTGATGCAGCAACGTTTATAAAAGATTGCAGAGTTTTATTTGGAGATATTTTTATTGTGCCTTTCTTAGGTTCTGCCTTGGGATTGACAGCAATGTGCAGCCTGGGGTGGGGAAATTTGGTTGGATTTGACTGGAATGATTTGCCCGTGGGCAGGGAATTTGATTGCAAATTTTTTTAAAAAGTCAAATCCCCACCCTATGCCCTGCCTCCCCCCCGCCGGCATTGCATTGATAGGTGCATAAGTCTTTTATGTATAGCAAAAACGGTAGAGGACCCAATATAGTCTCTTGGGGAGACCACATTGGAGAGAGCAGGTTTTGGAAAGTGAACCACTAACAGAACATATTTGAGTTCGGTTTTCTAATTATGATTTAAACCAATTGTAAGTATTTTCTTGAATTCCGTAGACGTTTTTAAACGTCTAAATTAAAATTTAGACAGTAATATCGTGTGGTCTACTGTGTCAAAGGCCTTTTTTAAATCTAAAAACACTACAGCATTAGCGTTTCCATGATCAATATCAAAAGCCCAGCTATTGGTCGCCTCTAGTAGAGCACTGACCGTAGAATGAAAAGAGCGAAATCCGGATTGACTTTTTGAAATAATGTTATGTTCTGATAAGTACGCGCATACTTGATCGTACGTTATTCTTTCGAATACCTTGGCCATAACAGAGATAACAGAAATGAGACGGTAATTGTTCATATCACTCGAACTTCCCTGTTTGAATAAAGGAGTGTCTTTAGCACATTTCCAGTCATCTGGGAATATGCCTGTAGTCAAGGGACAATTAAAGATCTTGCAAATAGAAATGCAAATTAAATCAGCACATTCACGAATTAGTCTCGCAGATATTTTATCGAGATCTTTTGCTTTTGATTTGCTAAGTTTGTTCAATAGTGAAAATACTTGACCGCTATTTGTCGGAGTAAAACAGAATCTTTGGTCAGTGATGTTAAGAAATGCAAAACAACTATTGTCGCCGTTAGCTGCCGACGGGATCTCGTGCATTGGCACGTTTCGGGCCAATTGTGGAAAAAATGTTCATTAAAAACATTTGCCAAGTCGGTAGTTTTGTTTATAGAAGCACCGTTTACTTAGGCCATTTCCGAGTTCCCCCGGGCCTCTGTATCAAAACGAGGTTGAGTCCTCAGTCTTTGATATGGAAATGATTCTTCATTCTTATGCAAATGAAACTCATTTCAACAAGGAAGGTTGTTCGCTTGGCCTCATTATGTAAGTGAGGATTTTTGGAATTCGGGAGTGGCCTATTAGTTCTTTAATAAAGGGGGTGTTACTTTTGCAAGATGTAAGTTCGTTTTTAGTTTACCAGGTGCGTCGAGAGTCATTTTTGTGTTCAGTTAACAATTGTTTGTAATAAGATTCCTTTTATTCCATGTGTAGCGTGCTTGCCTCTCCTCATGCCTTAAAGGACGACGTAAACTACATGTTTAGCGCGTTTTTCTGGCCTCATGGCTTAAAGAACGACGTTTAGTTTATGTGTAAAGCACTTGTTTCGCGTCACTGGCATGTTTTAACAATTGAAAATTTAAAGATTTTCAATAATAAAGGACAGCAGTCCGTTTAAGGTGGCAAAAAAAAAAAAACATGAGCTGCTTTAGAACTGAAACTTAGCTGAACTGAAAACTGTACCCACTCTGATTCGCTGTGCCTGAAGTGCTTTAAAGCAAAACTTTGTAAGATAAATTTTCCTGCTTTAGTCGGATTGTTTGGCGATAACAAAAGTGCATTATTTTTCGCGGTTGAGCTTACTTTATAATTAACTTGTTTTGTAGGATATAAAACAAACGTTAGAAACGGAGGACACTTTATACTAGTTGGATATTTTCCGACACAGACCAATTTGTGGTCTTTTTCCACTTAAACGTCTGTCTTTACGGCAGACTTTTCAACGAATCATTTAGGCTCTATTATTTGCGAAACATCTTCACCGCTTTTACTGTTG